CCCAATGCTGGGTCCAGCCTCTTGGCCCTTGACTCCCACTGGTGGTGTAAAAGCTCCTGGAGTCAGTGCAGAGCTGTGTCATGATGCCCTGGAAAAGAAATTATGATCCCTATGGAAGCTTCTATCAGGCTTGTGCCACTGGAGCCAAATGGGGCTCTGAGTGACAGGAAACAAGCCAAGCCAGGCATCAGGGCACCATGCTCATCCTCACTCTGCTCCCAGCTCAAAAGAAGGGATGATGGGGAGAAATAATGCTGTGATTCCTTGGATATGGGGCTGGGACAGCTTGTGAGCTGTGGCACGAACTCCTTGAGTCCAGACTATAAAATACTTCACAGGGCTGTCCCAATTGCCTGGCCTATTAGTTTTATGGGGGGGCGTGTTGTAAGGATGCAGTTGATCTCCTTTTACCACGGTAATGAAAATGTAACCGCAGGGAGGAGAGACACCCTGGCAGGGAGGCAGCAGGAGCTGTGTTTGGGCCTTGGGGTCACCTCCCGGGGTCCCCGGGCATCCGTCAGTGCTGGCTGCCACACGTGGGTCCATTTTGGCAAGGAGAGCCTTCGCCCCTTGGCCCAGCCGGGGGTTCCTCCCCATCCCTCCGGGTCCCCCCCCTGCCCCGCCCCGAGCGGAGGAGGAGGATGGAGCTGGACGGCTGCACAGGCAGGGGCACAGTGCCACCCAGTGACAGCGTGTGACCTGCGAGGGGACAGCTGGGGCAGCCTGCACAGGGATTGCTGCAAAGGTGTTGAGGGCCTGGAAGCGGCAGCGAGGGCATCCCGAGGTGGTGGAGAAGATGGGAGAAGCCAAGAGACCATCTGTGTTGTTGCTCCGTGGCTGCAAGTGCACAAGGGGCCAAGCTCTGGTGCTGTCACGGCGTGTCTGGATTGAGGGTTTCGCGTGACTCGTCTTGTTCAGGTGCTGACAGAGGCCGAGTGTCGGGCAAGTTGGGGCTGAAGCAGCTCACGTTTTGGGAGGGACCCTGGCAGCAAACCAAGGGGAGGAGGAGGAGGTGGTTGCCTGGGATAAGCTGCCTGCCATGGGGAGGATGTGTCTTTGCACTGGGAAGCACAAGATACGTCCAGTCCCAAAAAGAAGAGGCTGTCGCAGAGGCTGCCTCAGAGCCACCCAGCCTCTGCCAGGCTGGGGCTGGACTGGAAGGGACCCCCTGTGTCAAGGTGTCTTGGACATCAGGTGACAGCCACGTGTGCTGGATTTCTGACTTGCATCCTGAGGTTAATGCAGGACTTTTCCTCCTTTCTGCCCAAACCCTGCCTGCACTCCTTGCTGGGTCAAGCCCTATGTCGTGTTCCCAGGCTAAAGCAAGCATCAACAGGCAGCCTTGAATGGTGGGGGAGAGGAAAAGGAGCCAGGTGCAGTGGGGTGTGGTGTCAGCAGCTTCTGAGGTGGCTCCCTGCAGTAAATTGCTGCCCCAGCAGTGCCCTGACATGTTTCCAGCAGGGACCGTCTCTTGCAGGAGGCACAGACTATGGCTCTATTTTGGGTAATGACTGCAGAGTGCACAGAGCACTTGGCAGCAGGGAGGGGTGTTAAATCAGCCTGCCCTTCTCCAGGTACATCGTCTCCTCCCTCCATTTTCCACAGCTGTTCCAACGTAGCGCTGCCCCTGGGCTGCAGGACTGCAGAGTGCGGCTGAAATCAGGGCACTGCAGTGTGGGAGGCGTGAGCCCTGCACGCCTGATGGATGGAAGTCCCACATCTTTACTGCCCTGCCAAGGACTGTGCACACTTTCTGTTCCTAGGCTGTTCTCCAATGTGTCTTTATTTTTGTCCATTTAAATTTAGGCCAGCGTTGATCCCACAGACACCACCGTGGAGGTCTGTGGGCTTTCACTGCTGTACAGCACAAAGCCTGCTAGAAATCCAGCACCCTGTCCCACCGGCTGGAGAGCTGTTTCCGTCCCAGCACCCACCTCTGCTTTGATCAGAGAGTCACTAGTGATGGTGAAGGTGGATCACTCAGCCTTGTACAGGCAGGAGCTGCTACTGAGTACTGGGAGTAATCTTTTCATCACTACTGGGATACATCCTGCAGCTTGGGATGATTTTGGCTGTAGATTTCCAGCGCTGCTGCGTATCCTGCATGTGGTGCTCAGACCTGTGTTACAGCCCATTCAGCAGAATCCCAGACCGGAGCCAATTTTAGCCTTTCTGTTTCAGACTCCTGCTGATGTATCCCGTGTCCAGGCCAAGGTGCTATTTCTTGCAGGGAAATTATCTTTGTTAATTTTAGGTCTAGTTCTCCAAAGTGCCGAGTAGGCACAGCTATTCCAGGTAGTTGGGCACAGCGGGAGGTGTTCGATCTTCACGGGATGTGGCTCTTTCTTACACAAGGAAGGCCAGGCCTGATGAATTACGTTTCCTTTGTGCCTGCAGAGCGTGAGGCTGATGCTCAGCAGGAATCCAGCCCAGCGCTGTGTATCCATCGTCACGGCAGACTCGGAGCCAAATCACCAGCTGCGATACCTGGAAAGAGAAAAGCTGTTTCTCTTCAAGGTCAGTGGATTAATGGTATCACTGGTCACAAGATGAGGGCAAAAAAGAGATGGTGTAAGATTACAGAAATGGATTCAGAGTGTAGAAGTTCCCATGAGAACCCCTGAACTACCTTATAATCCAGATCAAATTAGTAAAGTAACAGAATGCACTAAAAAACTGTGGGATTACAGTCTAGAAATACAGGGTACCACTACTTCACAATAATGAAAAATGGGCAAGTTTGATTTTTTATGTGTTTTATGACAAGTTAAGGGTAGCAACAGTGGCTGGGTTTGTCGCTTCTGTCAGAAGCATCCCTGGAGGACTCCAGCTTGGCTGCTGAATGGTGGTGGGCTGAAAACGAGTCGAGTGCCAAGAGTTTCAAACCGACTCCTGTTGTTCACTTATGTCAGTCCCTTCTGTCTGTTCAAAACAGCATCCACTCCTCACTCGCCTCTCCCCTCGAGTCAGTTGGGTCTCAGCTGCAGGGGCAAGCTGGGGGAAGGCAAAGCAGCACCTCCAGCGCTGCCCTTCTGCCCCTGCCACCCTCTGACAGCCCAGTGAGAGCTGCTCTTGCTCCGGGGTCTGGAGAGGACTCAGTGGATAGTGCAGCCTGGGAATCACGGAGCTGTGCAGGGGGGTTTGCAGTCCCTGGCATCCACACTTTCCCTTGTGCTTTAGTGGTACATTTCTAGACCAAAAGCAAGTGGCGGATTTTTCAGTGCTGACTTTCAGCTGCCCTTGTAGGACCAGCCAGGACGCACAAAGCAGGAGCCAGTTCCCTGCGGATACCCCAGATTTAGCTCTGATCCCAATTGTCTGGTGCGCCAGCGGCGGGTTAGACTAATAACTCGTGCAGGGAGGGTTCTGGTTACAAAATGCCTGGAATGAAGTAAGCAGGTGCTGGGAAGGTTATCTGAGGGGAGCACTGTGTTAATTCCCTATCCCTCTATCCCTCGCTCCCCATGCCTACCTTGGAAGCAGCATGGATGGCGTCTTCCACGGGTGAGGCTGCACCTGGCACATGAGGGGCTGCACTGAGCAGGGGCAGTAGCTCAGCTTTAGGGTTGTGCCAGTCTGGAGAAGCAGGGATGGGCCTGAGCCACAGCAGTGGGTGCTGGGTTCCCAGGCTGCTCCCATGGTGGGCAGCTGGAGCAGTGTGTGGATAACCTCACCCAAGGCGGGCACACACCCATCTGTGTTAATGAGTCACAGCAATCGGTGCAACTTGGGCTCTAGGCAAGCTTGTAGGGCTTGGATTTTGGAGCAGGGGGCTCACTCTGGGACAGCTGTGATGTTTTCTTTCCCTGTGCCTGCCTGTCCCACTCTGACACGTGGTCCTGCTGCAGAGGGGCTCAGCTATTTGCACAGCAACTGCCAGTTCACAGCTCGGGGTATGGAGGTTTCCTGAAACTGGAACTGCTTTACCTTACCCTGCTGAGCTGTGACTGGTGGTCCAACAGCTGCTATGGGAGCAGCTGACCTGCCCTCTAAAAAAACAAGGCAGAGGGGACAATGAAGGAGACAGACACTGCTACAGCTGCTCCAAGGTGAGCTGTCCCTGTTGGTGTGGATCTGAAGAGCTTTTGTATGTGCACAAACTACACTATGAAAAATCATGTAAAAAACTACATGGAACTTTGTTCTGCTGTTGCTGCATTTTACTCTGAGTGTATTTAGGTGTATTTCCTACTGGTGTAAGCTCCAACAGACACACCTCTGGGAGTGTCCTAGAGGTGTGTTTGTCATTGCACTGGTTTAGAAATAAAACCTTTTAAATGAGTGACAAACTGATGAACCAAACTCACCCCAGCCAGCTGGCACAGAAAATTAAGGCTTATACTGCCTGTTGCAGGACTGACCTAACTAAACTAGTTCAGATTTGCACTGGTGAGAGCTTGGACACAGGTAAGCCAGAAATACACTCAGGTGGAGTTACTCTTGTTTCTCGTTACCTTTGACTTTCAGCTGAGCACACTTGGCCGTTGCTGGAGTTTTCGGTGGCTGCTGTGTTGGGCACTCCTGGTACAAATTTCCCACCCCAGCTGCAGCGAGGGGAGGGCTGTGCCAGCCAGCGGAGAAGGTGAGTGTTCAGAGCAGTGAATCCCAGGCACCTCCACTCGCTGGGGTGTCAGAGAAGCCTGGGTGGTCCAGAACAGAACGAGCCCCAGCTCACCCTGCGCTGGGAGGGGTGTGCAGTGCCTGCCTTCATCTGCACCGTGCAGGGCACCCACAGTGTGCAGGAAGTAGATCACAACTGGAAGAGCAGGGACACTGGGGTTTGCCACATAAAGCAAAAGATGCCGTGAGAAGCAGCCACAGCAACAGGCCAGCACTGCCAGCTTTTGCCAGGAAGCCAAATGCACACAAAGCAGCTTGAAACAGGATTATCAATCCCACTGCGTGTACCTGACCTGTTCTTGCTTGTGTCATTACAACACAACTGGTTTTCTCCAAAATGTAACTTGCCAAATGTGACTATTCGATGATAAGACACTATGCAGAGTTGGCTATGAATGTTTATTAACATCACATGGAAATCTGTACTCCAGAGAAGACAAACACAAGGCTGTCACCATACCTACAGAGTCCAGGGAGCCAATGCAAGCTTTGTAGGCTTCTCCTTTGCAGCAGTTGAGTGTCTGATGTTCCTCTCAAGTTTTCCTCCTATACAGGATCATCTCAAGTATCAACACCTTGTTAATGATTTAACTGAAAATCCTTTAGTTTTGTTAGTGCTACTCTTGATCTGGATTGACTAAAAAGGCAAAAGGCGACCAGGATCCGGGTCCTCACTTCCAAAAGGAGACGCTTCTGATGTGTTACACTGGCACCTCTCAGCAGGGGCCAGGATGCCAGTCACTGCCCTCTCCCGCACCTGCACGGTTACACCTTATTTACTCAATAACCTAAATTCAAACCATTTGCATAAATCAGTCACTCTTACAAGCACAGTCAAGGGTGTCACAGTAAACAAAGGTCATAATTTCCAGAGACCCTTACAAGCCTTGGCCAAAGAGCAGCGTTAAGTACAGTGGAGGAAGATCACTGGCGTGTCGGGCGTGAGGGTGGAGGAGACAGTGATAATCTGCATAACCAGAGATGCATCTTTTTCAGGTGAACCTCCAGAGCCCAGCAGAGTAGTCTGAGAGAGGCACGAGGATGAAACAAGGGAGTATCATTCAGCCTGGCAACAGCGTTTTCTCCTGCTTAATTCTTCCTTTGATTCCGGAACACTTCAGTTGGCACTCTGTTCACCCACAAAACAGGGCATCATAATGACAGAGTAAGGGCTTACATACTCTGCTGTTCTTGTCAAGGTTTTAAGACTTAAGACAACAAATAATACTGTAAGTTGAGGCGAGTTTTATTTAGACTGTACAAACAGGGCACTGGGGAAAAAAACACAGTGGCTTGATGTTGGGACCAGTTCTATGATTTAAGTGGAGTAAGAAATTAAAAAGGCACTAATCTTAAGAAAAGACACTCCATATATTCTAAGAATATAATTCATTTAATACTGTTAATTTCATAGCACAAAAAATAAAACAAGCTATGATCCCCAAAATAAATTTTAAAAGCTTACACTTAATATTATTGCCTGAAGATCATGGTCTTTAAATTACATATTGTGTTTAAAAGTTTACACAGTGAAGACTGTCTCAAATACAAGGCCACCTTTCCCACTGCAATAATTGTATCCTTGACCCAAAACACACTTTAACACAAATAAACAGAAAATGACAACTATACAGGAACGCTTTCACTGGTCCCAAAAGGCAGTCTTTTAGGCAGGTCTCACTTTCAAATGCAGGTAATTGTGGAAAATGCTTGAAAACTGGACTAGAAAACAAAGGCAGCCCACTCATTCCCAGGATGTTAATACAATATAAAAATTCATTTACAGGCACATGAAATGGCACAAAGAATGCTGTTTTTCCCTTTACAAAAATAATGCTCAGGCTCTTCAGAGCCCCAACCCAAACAGGATATTCCCTTTTGTTTATTCTTTCCCAATTTGTAAACAATCATGAATTAAATTAGCGCTTATCCAGTGATGGACACTGATTACAACAGTCTTCATTTAAACTTTCAGACTGGTCAGAGGCTTCAACGTCTATATACACATGTACACAGCAGGAGGAAGCCGAGCACTAAGCCTACTGTGGCACCAGGTCATTACACCAGCTCTGAGTTCCAAAGCAAGAACAACTTTAATGGTGCATAGATTGAAGCCATCCCTTGTAGGCTCTCATGCTTCATAGTAAGGTTACCTTACACGCCCAAGAACATTTACACTGATAGGTTATCACTCCAATTTAAGAGGTTTCATAAAGCAACAGACAGCACACGTGTAAGCAAGCGACAAGCGATTGAGAATCCAGAGTCCTTCAAAGAGAAACACACACTGATCAAATGCAGTCTTTATATGAAAATACTTGTCTCATAGTAAAATAGCCAAGACACATTTTGAAGCAAGGTTACAATCAGCTTAGGCTGGTCAGTATGCTACATTGAAACCACATTTTACATACCTGAACCACACCACTGCTACTCGGAGAAACACTGTTCATTCGTGGCCTAAAACCAGGTTCACAGAAATTTAAGAATTCTTGTCTTTGCATCAGATGCCACTACACACAAATTTTGCATAGTTTTGAAGGAAAATGTTTTGCTTTTCTGCAGAACATAATTAAACCTAAACCAACATCTGTGTTCAAAGCGCACACCTTATTCAGCGAGGGGATGAGTCAAGACGTTTATTTCAGTGAAAAAAAAAAATCAGGTTAGAAGCTGTGTTCAAGATCTCAAATCTCACAGTATTTATTTACCGCGCAAAGGAAGAATTCAACCATCAGTCTTCTGAAGAGCTGCCTGTAACTAGGTCAGGCCTGAAATAAGATTTCTCTGCAGCAGACTGAGTTTAGTGCAGTTTCTGTATTCAAAAGATGACTTTCAGTAGTACAATCTGTGTAGTAAACGTGTGGGTATCGTAGGGGCACAGGAAAAGCATGACCTTCTTTAGTTAAGAGCTGCATAGCTTCTCTTTGCAAGACAAAATGTCAATGCCTATTGTCAAGAATTACAGCACCAAACAATTCAGTCAATGCTACTCTACTTCACAGTTAATTTGGTAGTAAAATGCTCTACAAGAACTTCTAGACTGTCAGCCACTTGATCAATACTACAGAAAACAGCTAATAGGTGAACGGAGAGACTTCTCTAACACCCGGCACTTTGAGCGTCTTGCTGCAAATGCCATTTTTGCAGTTCTTCAGTGCCTTCCAGCTTAGGATCTCGTGGCACTTCCATGTGAACTAAGAACAACGTGGTTTTATTAGGATAAGTAACACAAATCAACAAGAAAATGTACTGGAGCTTAGGACAATGTTTATATCATTTGACATTTATAAGCAGGTGTTTGAAGTTTCTCATTTTGCTACAACTGATAGCCTTCAAAAGTTGAAAAATGGGGGCCGCTGTTTTCCTGTAGCTTCCACATTAGACATTTGCTTTAACCAGGCTGTCTGAAAAGGGAGGTTTTCTGGTTGTAGTCTTTGCAGACACGTATTCTGTTAATTCAGTGTTCCATCATTTTAAAAAGAGCATTCCAGTTCACCTACAACACACATTTGAAGAAGGTGGCACAGGATTCCGCTGCACCTACGCTTTGATATCCTGCACCCAGGCCCAGGATGAGCACCTGCATGGCATGGACTGCACCTCCTGCAGCCACGTGCTCCCTGCTGTAGGTACAATTACAGCAGGATAGCTTAGGGACAGAAACAGGGAAGAAGCTGTACTGATAACAGACACCTTTGTGGCCTCCTCCAGCCTGAGCATTGACTTATCACATGGGGAACCCAGGCAGCTGACTCCAATTAACCATTTTCTAGAGGATGCTGGGAGGGGGAGGGACCTGGGGCATATATAAACCAGAGCCAACTCATTTGGAAGGGTAAAAAAACCCTGTGATAACATGCAGAGGACTTGGGGTACAAGCAAGGAAGAAGAGGGAAGAAAACCAAGAAGATGAAAGCAGCCCTGGGAGAGAAGCACAGCAACACAGAGACACCCTGGAAAAAAAGGTACTGTGTTTGAAAAGGAGCTTTCAATGAGCTGGGGCTGGCATAGTTAGGAAACTTTGGAGAGAGCAGGGAGCCTACAGAGAAATGGATATGAGGGGTGTTTAATTGTTGAAGTAAGAGGATTTTATCAGTATTTATCAAGTTGTTCTGTCCTGCTCCTCTCCTACCTCTCCACGCCGTGGCAATCTGATCTATCAAGTAATAGATGAGCACTTCTATACTAGTAAAACTACACTTTCAACACTGCAGAAGAGCTGTATGTAGACCAGGCCAAAGTGTTTCCCCTTAAAGCTCACTTTCTACAGTTAGTGCTTGCAAAAATCAACAGAAATTCATTAAATACGTCAAAACCAGGTTACAAGTATCAACCCCTCCTAAGTTTCCTTATAAATAAATGCCTCAGCTTCAATGCAGCTCAATCAATGGTTATTTGCATTTAAACACACACTGTTTCAGGAAGGTCAACGACAAGCTTAAGAGTTAACAGAAAGGAGCAGTGTCTAATACAACTGCTTAGAATACATAAGCTCCAATTATTGTCCTTTGAAGAGACCATCATTTTAAATGTACTACCTTAGGACAGGTAATTTTAAAACTAAATCTTCTTCAGTCCTAAAATTGCATTTTTGTTGTTGCTTTTTGTTGGACAGTAATACACGACTTGCATGTTTGATCTAAGATTAGGGCTCTTCCTACCGAGCAAACTAGAAAAAGTCCATGGAAGTCTCAAGAGGAAAGGTTTTCTTCCCATACCTCTCTGCTAATATTCCGGTTCAGTCTTCTCCAGCTTAAGGCCCAATAGTTTTAAAAGTGAAACTAAAATTCTGGATGATGCAACTACGGTATGAAGGTCAGGCAGTGACTTCAGTTGTATGTATTCCAAATGTATATTAAAAGAACCGTCAAACTGCAGCAAGCTGGAAAATGGGCAACGCTAGCAAATGTGCCATTAAGTCATCATCCCACCTCAAACAATGCTAATGACAGCCAGGAAAATGAAGCAGCAGTGTAAATCGGGCAGAGGGAGTCACTCGTTCTCATCTGGGTTTTGAGGGTCAAATAATTTCACGTGTGTGAAGGGGAACAGCCCTTTTCGACCGTTGACTTCTCCTTCCCACTGACCATTTATGTTCATCCTTGTTACCTTCACGATATCTCCAACCTGGGGGATTAGAAAAGAAAGAGAAGTTGTCACACCTCTGATACACATCAAATGAAGAGGAATAACAAATACAAGCATATTATAGGGAAAGAAACCTCACTCTCTTCTTGGCATAATGTTCAATTGAAAAGTCACTTTCACTTAACTACAATACCAGTATTTTGCTGCTAAACACAATAATGTTGTCTGTGTATTTCTTGGAATACATGTATATTTACATATACTCTAAATTAAATTTACAAATAGAAAGACAAATTACAGAACTACACCTTTTCCTACAGAAAGCCTTGCAGCTTCATGCAACAGTATCTTTAGCTTAGATGCAAATTAGCATCACTAAAGCTGCCATCAGGGATGAGATGCAACATCCATTCAAAAGAGCATGGTACTTGTACTGGTTTTAGCATCAGCTGAGTTACAGGAAATTCAGTTTTTCAAAGAAAGATTCCTAAGGCAAAGAAACCATTACTTAAAGTTTTAGTTCTGATTATCACAGTCTAAGAACCTTCTGTAGTCTCTAAAATAATGGTACAGTTCTAAAGCAGGCAAAAGCAGTCTCAACTCCTTTTTTTTTTTTTTCAGTCTTAGATGTACAGATTCTAGCTTTATTTGTTGTTTTCACCTCTACTTCCTGCCAAAGGATTTGAAACAGGAATGATGACATGTCAAGCCTTTCCTACCATAACTGTCTCTTCCTGTCTGGCAGAACAGCCTAAACTATCAGCAAGCAAGAAACATCAGCCTGCATTGAGGATAAGTTATACTCTTATTGTTCAATACCTGTATTCAATTTGGGTTAGGACAATTTAGAAAGCAAAATATCCTATCTGACAAGCAGCATTTAAGACGAGCTAAATACTCATTCTCAAATGCTTCAGGACAGCTGAACACGTGGTTTCTTGCAGCAGCTCTCTAACTTTCCACCTCCCTTCCTGTTTACTTAATTGACTCTATGTGGTAATGACAGTAAATAGTAGAAAACTGACATTAGCAGCTAAGAACTAATTTCACTAATAGTAGAATCAGCCTATGACCAAGGGCCAACAGTTCCTAAGTTTCTTTCCCAAACTAGGTTCAAGCTCTTTGTAGTTGAGTCCCAGTTACCAACCTACTGCTATGAAATTCAAAGGAAACTAGCTTTAATCTTCTTATTTAAGGAAAAAAGTAGACTTTAATTCCGATACAGCACGTATAACCATTTGTCTACATTATCTAAATAGTATTAAAATTCAGAATAGATGCAGATAGGCCCTTGGCCAAGGTCCTTAAACTAAAATTTTTCAGGTAACACCTGTGTACTTTATGTTAAATTAAAATCCACTAGTTTACAAAACTAGTGTACATGTCCCTAGATGATTTGAAGTCCATTTAAACCAGTTACCATGATTCTATAATAGATATTTTTTGAAGATCACTCAGGGGCGAGAATCCTCAAGTGAATCTGAAGGTACTACAATAAACTCCTTGCCAGTCAGTCACTCAGTGTTACATCTCTTACAATATAGTTTGTCCAACTTTGGAACTGCTTCTAGAGATTTAAGCTTTATGTTGCATGCTAGAATGAAATTAGATATTTAAGCAAAGTGTGTTGCTCTGCCTTCCCTATTTTTTTCCCCACTATTTGGGTTGTTTGTGTCTGTGACTATTGCGCTTGGAACAATTGTAATCTTGCACCTCTGACAGAGGAGAAAACTCTCTGAACTCCCATGAGTTCTTAGGATATAACTGAGACTCCATTACTTTTTTAAATGGACGTTTTTATTTATGCTGTTCCTGAACTCAAACTCGAAGCCAGCATATATAGGATGTAGTTGAACAGTACCCATGATAGTCAGCACGTAGTCACAGCATTAACCCAACTGGTTTTCATCTCTGCAGGGCTTGCTGTAGCATGTTTTAATTGTGTATTTGCTAAAAAGCATGATTTGTCAGACTCCTCACCAAATAGAAAGGCTAGAGAAAGCTTTAAATAGTAACAAGATGACCTAAACAGGAACCCAGCGAATGTCTCTTTAGGAAAAGGCTGATAATATCTATAAATACTCAGTGCTACATTGCTATATTTAAATAACCCTTGAAGACAGATCTAAGTTCCAAGTTTTAGACCCAAATTGAAGAAGAAGCACCCAACATCACAACAGTTTAATAGGAACCTGCATTTACACCACACCATAAACCCAATCCACTCTCAAACCCTTTGATCCAGTATACTACAGATTATTTTTAAAATTAAAAACATGGACCTGCATTTTCTGAGAATCTGACAATGTAATTCTGTCCATGTGCTGTAGAGTTCAATCCCTTACTCATTTTGAAGCTCTAGAAAATTTGGCTCTGATTGATTTCACAGCATGAATAGGTTTGGGAGCCTTACTTCAGCTGAGTGAAAAAAAAATATTTACATTATGTCTCTTACTGCATTGCAACAAACTGCCATGTAGATTTTAAGGATGTAAAATGTCTTTTACACTGCTGGGTGGGCAAAGCTATATATATGTATATACACATATATATACACATCAGCATCTGCCACTAAAAAGCTGGCTGACAAAAGCTACTCAAAAAATACTCCTATATGCCAAGAACCACTGGAATACTAAATTAGTTTGCAATAACTTTTTATTATTATTGGGAGTTTTTGTTTGTTTGTTTTGTTTTGTTTTTTTTTAATGAAAGCTTCTGACTCTCTATCCTCTTGTGTGATATTATCTCAAAAATGCAGTTTCTCTGAGAAGGCTGAATGAAACAGCATGCTGAAGTGAGGTTTTTGGAGCAGGAACCTTGATTTCATGATAGAGTAACTTAAGGATCTTATGTTAAAAACCTTCATTTTGACAATGTTGAGAAGAATCTGGTCAAGTAGTCCCTCTATGTATTTCCCCCCAAAACATTACGTAAAAGCTGTACTTGGTAAGTGCTTTATAAAGCATCTATAATATGGTCAGTTGGGGTGCAATCTCCCCCTAAAATTATTTAGCACACTACTTTTGGCAGAGTGTTTTAAGCCAGTCAGAGGGATTGTCTTATGATTAGGCACAGGACAGAGTCAGGAGACCTGGTTCTATTCTCATCTCTGCCACAAACTTCCTGTATGACTCTGGACAGCTCATGGCCCTTATCTATAAGTCAGGATAACACTCCTGTAGACTCAGCATCTCTCAGGTTAATTCAGTTGCAAAGCACACCAGCATCACTGGATGGAAGCACCGCTGCTGAAATGAGTAATACTTCTGAAATGCAGCCATTTGGTTACACCCAAATGATAAAAATCAAAACGTATTTTAGATAGCATCTTTCATTATGTCCTTGTTAGAGCATGAATTCAAAGCCCTGGGGAAACACAAGCTGGGGAACATGCCAGTCAGAAAGGTTACTTCATTCACTCCAGACTCTTCCATACCTGTCTCCCATTTGAAGCTGATTCATACTCTACAAAATGCCATTTTAGTCACACAGTCAAACAATTCAGTGAGTTTTACAGATACTGCTAACAATCGTATGTTAAGAGTTCTGTAACGTAAGTTTAAGGAGATAAAAATGCATTAAAACTCTAAATCATTCTTTTAGCCCATTGGGTTAATACTATAGAAAACACTGTTCTCTGCAATCTATGGGGTGATGAATCTCAGTCATTATCCTAATTAGCGTCACACCTCACCTTCTTTGTTAACGCTAATGTTAGTGCCAAAACCAACAGAAGAGAATAAACAGGAGAAACTGAGAAACTACCTGAAATCCTATTGTCCCTAAAAGGTATGAAGCTACATAAAAGAGGTAGAATCTAGCCACACTGCAAACAGGACAAAGGGACACTGAAGGAGCTGGTGCTTTATGCGTTGGAAGATCCATGAATCCAAAATGCTGAAAGCACAGCTTAATTTTCCTTCGCTTCTGATGTTCTGTGCCAGAAGAAAATTAGTTGATGCCCAAACCAGAGAATCAAATAGTTCAGAGGAAAGACCTTCTATTCTTAAGACATGAAAAGAGGTCAAAGGGCAGCACAAAAATGTGGAAGTTCTAGATGCTACTAATCTGGCATCACCTAGGCACAGGGTAAAACAAAGGAACTTTGCATTTCACCCAGAGCTAGGAAATTGGCCAGAGTAGGGGTTGCAGCACTGAAAAAGCGCTGCTTTTCATTAGATGATAGCAGCCTGTCTCCCTTGGATTAAGCCAGCTGTCATGACTGGACAGAATTTGGAGAGCTCACTTTCAACTCAAAGTTCCAAAATCAACCCTTCACAAATATAGGCTCAATATTTTGCTTGAAATCCAGACCCTGTGGGTCAGATGCATTTTAATCCTTAATGCAGCAATGCTCAGTTTTCTTGGCTTAAGAAAAACACAATGCTTGTTGTCTACTGAAAGAAGTAGCCTAATTTCCTAATTAAGAAAGTTCTACTACTAGCACATTTTGGCCTACTTCTCTCAACTTTCCTTTGAAGAGGGAAGAAGTTAACTGTAACCTAATTGTAAGGAGCTCAAGAGAAATACTGTAAGTCAGTTATATAATTATAAATGTTTTGGTGATGGGTTAACTCTGTATAGCAAACACACATGTATATGATGATGCATCATGAAACGAACAACTACTTAACACTACGATGCTGGCACAGGGCTACAAAAAACCATCATTAGTATAAAAGCTTTGCTATAAAAATATAGTGCAACTCTCATTTAAAAAAAAAAATCTTTGATTCCAAAACACTGTCACGTTAAGTCTGGAGATGAACTTGAGGACTATTCCTGCCTTCAAAATTGTCTATGACACTTATTAGAGCTCCAGCAATTTATTTAAGAAACATTCCTTAATCATGTGACAGGCATAAATCTGGTGGCTGTTGCTGATCTCCCATCTTCTGGTTCCTAATGCCATTTTGTTCCACTTCATAAGTGAACTTGCAATTTGTTGTTCATGTCCTGGTTAGAGCTTGTCAGTTTAGAACAAAACTTCATTAGCATGTTATTCCTAACAGGCTGGCTATAGGACTACACTAGTTATCAAATGCTGGGAAGCTTCCAGGTAGATTTTGCTGCTCTGTATCTCAGTGCTGGAGTTTCTGCTCTTCCAAACTCCATCACCTTCTTCAACTGCTATTCCCATACACCTCTGAACACAGGATTGCCCTCCTAGTTTCACACAGTGAAGCAGGATTGAAGAACAGCAGTACATAACCCTGTAAGGCAGAGTTCTAGTCCCCGTAAACACAGGACACTGTATCCCTGTCCTTCATATTCCTTCCTCTACAGCACCAGAAAGGAAGGAAATAGCTTCTTGGCTTAAAGCACCCAAGTAAAGAAACAGATCTGGGTCCTCGCCTGCTGTGCTTTTCAGTTGTGTGGTTGGAGTTCTTTTATTTTGTGGTTTGGTTGTTTGGTGGTCTGGTTCTTGGCTTTTTTTTTTTTTTTTTTTTTAAATGCAATATCCATGAAAATTCTACATATATTAGCAACAAAATTAGTTGTAGTGAGAAACTACAGACTTCATTTAATTAAAAACATTAAATCTGAACTGCCAAGGTAGCTAACTCAACTGGCAAGAGCGTACATAAAACTTAGAAGTACATGTAATTTATCACAGGCTTTAATTGTTCCCTGGTGCAGAGAGATGCCCAAAGTTACATGTACCACCAGCTGTAAGCTTTGAGATAGTAGCTATACTTGAAACTACCATTTTAGCCTATAAACAGACTATATTTTAATTTTTTATTTTAGAAAATAATGCAGTAGGATTGAGTCAACACTGTCACTTCAATAATACCAACAGTGTTATCCAGAGAGGTTCTTAACTCCCCATCCCTGGAAGTGTTCAAGGCCAAGCTGGACAGAGCTTGGAACAAGCTGGTCTAATGGAAGGTGTCCCTGTCCATAGCAGGGGGTTGGAACAAGATGATCTTTAAGGTCCCTTCCAACCCAAACCATTCTGTGATTCCATATGAATGCTCAATAAATGCAGCCCAGCAGTAATAAATGCCCTAGTAACTAGTATCCTACAAAAACAACACTGTAGTTGCTCTTAAACTGTCACACTTTAAATACTATTTAAAAGCTGAACACTCATTGCTATCTAACAAAACAGATCTTGTTTCAGATTTTCTCTAGAACAGTCACTTGTTTTACATTTTTCGTGTGAGAAACTAAAATAAATATAAATATTATACTTTGCTTACAAAACAAACTTCTCTATAACAGGCTGGCTATGAATTTTTACCTTTTCTTGAAGAGAAATTCTGTCAGTTTATGTAAGCAATAGTGTACAATAGAAAAACTGGACCTGCAAGCAGGGAGCTTGTCCCATTTTCAACCCAGGAGAATGACATCCCTCCACTTAAAAGGAAGTCAAGCATTACTATGCAATAGCTTTATTTGCTCCAGATGGTATTCTCTTCCTTTTAAGTACTGTCTGTGTGCTGACCACACAGGGCTAGAGCCAGCAAACAGATATTTTGCTCCCATATTGTTTTGGCAGTTTAAATGAGATTGCACAATCAGGAACCATGTAATTATACTAACAAAGTGTGTGCTACCTGTACAAGCTGGGCTTCCATTTAGAGTACACTTACACTAAGGTAGAGCATGTCAAATACTATTTTTATGAAAGAACAGAGTGAACTTTCTTCCCCAGGACATTCCCATAACCTGTTCTTTGTCTAACACAAGCTACTTTCAGTGGTCTTACAAAACAGAAGCTTCAAGTGGTTTATTTAGTGATGTGTAGAGCCCTGACAAGGCTGGGATTAAATACATCATCAGGGCCCTGCAGGCATTTGGCAACCTGAAGGAAGATCATGAAAAGATGAATGTTTTTTCCTTTAAGGATAGTCTGTGTGACAAAAGAAAAAGTTCCCTATGCGTGGATAGGTATGGAGAAGCTGTAATCACTGATTTCAATGAAAATATGGATCAGTTCCCAGAATTCTGCTTCTGAAGCTCTTGAGGATCCAGTGTGGATAAGGTGCACTTGCAAAAGAAACAGACTGCATGGGAAAACAGAAAGGCATGAGGCAATAAGTGATTACTGGATGAGAAGAATCTCTCAAACAAAACTTCAGCAATTTATTTGAAGGTTCAAAACAAGTCAAACTTACCTGTTGGTCAGAGAATTAATCCTATTGGTATCCTAGAGTGGCTACGTTGACAGGATTAACTAGGTCACTTAAAGAGCAAGTCAGAAAAGTCTATTTGGGGCCAACCTTCCAAATGGTTCTGCTCCCCTGCAGCAATGCAAGTTCCCTGAAGTAATTCCATGATACACTGATAACATAACCAGATCAATCGCTTGCCTTGCTTTGCTTTCAGAAGCATAAGTAGTTTTTGGCAGGAATCTTCTGTACAGTGCAACTGGCAGTGAATTTACTCTTTGTTCTAGGATAATTTTCACACACTGTTCACAAACAACAAACTGGTAGATTTCATAAGACACAAAGAAAACACAGTGATATATATTTAACTTTTAACCCCATAAGAGTAATCACCTGTAGAAGTCTTACAAATACAGGTGGAAAAACCACTCAGGGCGAGTATTGTGAATAACTGGAAGTCACAAATATAACCTTCTAAATTTCAGTCAAAAGTATCAGCCATAGGTAACAGCTTTAACTTGCAGAGTAACTCAGAAAAAGCAACAGGAAAAGTTCAAAAGTATTTTTAAAAACACTACTTTACTTGCTAAAATGTTGCTGCTTCCTTTGCTTGTTTCCTTTGCATTTGTTTGTTGAAGTATTGCAGCACACTCAGATTTAATCTTGGACACCAGCACTTTTTCCTGGGGAGTCACTTTTGAACTCTGGGTTAACTAGCCTTCAGTTCAATTAGTACATAATCTAAATGTAAAAGTAACAGTCTCAGTGTTCTGGATATAGCTTTAGAAAACTTACTCCAATTATCATTTATTCCAGTTAAACTAACACTGTAACACATATTCTTTACTATTTACAGAATAAAGCTTTAAAGATATCCCTAATAAAAATAAATTAAAGCTCTGGCAAGCACACGAACTTCCAGCACAACTTTAGAGGTTACACTACACTCCTTCATCTGACTTCCTTGCCCCCAATTTAGGTCTTAAGGTGTCTCAAATCCCACTTTTTCAAAAGTAAAAGGGACTAAAATATTTCTGATACCTTCTACCCAGATTTCAGCTCTCAGTATGAGATCAAGAGCATCTCACAGCTGAGGATCAGAAAGACTATGTGTATCAGCAATCCTTACCTTCCTCTGAAGGAGGCCAGTTCTCAACCTGGAACACTGCAGGGATTAATGACACATCTCTTTCCTTCCCCAAGATTAGGTGGAGAAGTCATCCTCTGACTAGCACTTACTTCCATAGCTGCATATGTACACTACACTACCCTTGTAACATCTGCACTGTGGAAGGAGCAAGGGAGGGAAAACAGAGGTCCTGAAGTTACTGACTTGGTCACTTTTCTCACAGGAAGTGGTACAGATGAAGCAATTTTTGTAGATGTGTCTTCAGAATGTGACCTAACTTGTCAGTCCCTCGACATAACTCAGTAGACTCCATACAAAGTCAGCCACACCAGCTTCACCACTGACAACTTTTAGTTTCTTCATTCACAAGGCAACTGAAAACCCTAAGACTTGAGAGGAAAAACTTACCTCTAATGCCAGCGCAGTCTTGTCATAAGCACAGGGTACTCTCTTTTGGATAGCTTTGGCATAGACTGGTCCGTTCTGTGTTGATGGCAGAGGATTGATCACTGCTCCAGGTGTGCTGGATACTGAGGGAAGGGGACTTGCGGTTTGAGGCTGAGCATAAGCGTGGGCAGGTTCTGGAATACCATAACTGTTGGAATTCCTGTTTCCATGCTTCCCAATAGAAGATCTGACTAGCTTTTCTACGTAAGGAACGGGAATCATCCCAATCCGACCATCCTTGTTTCTGGCGCTCCACCACTGTTCTTCTGGCTTCTCCACAATTACCAGTATCTCGCCCTTTTTAAATGGAAGATCCTCGGCATCATTGCCAGGAAAGTCATAGAGAGTCCGAACATACTCCACGTTTTCTTCTGCAGTGGACATAGCAGGGGCAGATCCAGATCCCATGGGTGGACTTGGATACCTAAGTGTACAGAAGACTTGGTAAAAGCGATGGCTACTGGTTTGTGTCTCCAGTGACAAAGCCAAGTACTGGTTTTACAGCAGGAGCATCAATTAGAGAATTACTTATTCAGCTTTGTAATGAAAGCATTGGCTCGGTAGCACTGTGAGGCATTTCATGAGTAACTCATGCTCTCAAGTAATTACTTAAACACCCAAATTAGCTACCCCAGAAACCCCATAAAAATCTATCACAGGTGCAGAAAACAGGGAGAAACAATGCAAAATCTTCATCTTCCCCTTCTGGATTGTTGTGAGGACCTTTGAGTGGAGTAAAGTTAATTCTACAGCTTAAGTCATGGCAGTCATGAGAGAGAAAACAAATGAAAATCATTTGGATGACTGGGGTGGAAAGGCCACAAAAACTTAGCTGTGAATCTCGCCAAGAGCCCCCCACTCCAAGTCACCCAAATAATTTCAGTTTGATTTTGACTTCAGCATCCACTTCTAGAGATTTTACTAACTCTAAACACCAGACTTGAGGCACCATAGTGGAAAAACAGAACAAAAGTATGACATGTTCATAAAAGACAGTATGAAATACTTGCATCCCCTGGTAAGAAAGGAGTAAGGAAAAAAAAGCCAGCCTTCCAGAAATATTCCATTGCCTTATTAACCACAGTATTATCTTTACTTGTTCACATAATTGTTTATTACTATGTCCATCATATGTCAAATACAGTCACTTTGTTGTCTGTGATAATATTTGATTGGCCATCAAATGAGACTATTTTCCCTGCAATGTATTTCCATCCTAAATGTTATACATTTTATTCAAAGCATGTCAGAAATCTTAACGGATATAGGCCACAGCAGATACTTATTATCTAAGCTATGATAGGAAGAATGCATGTCATTAGCCTACTTCAATTCTCTTCTGCTACTTCCAAAATACGATGGAAGTCAAATCCCTATGATTTTTGCACGATATGCCAGAAGACCTGAACAAAAGGATATTCAATCTTTCAGACACCCTGCTGCAGCCAAAGAGGGGGGGAGAGAGGGAACCCTTCAGGGAGCAGTCACTCTGCATAAGCAAGAGCTCAGGAACATCTGTAATGATGGTCAGAGCTCACTATTAGAGACACAAAACAAATAGTTTAAAACAATCTATTTTCAATTGTTTAAAAGTTTAAAATGTCATCTCTGAGATCTAAAAGTACTCTGTACAACAAAGTGCTTAATTCTACTGCAAAAACCACCTTTCAGGCTGTACCTTACGACATTAAAAGAATGAACAGCTTTCAAAAGCACAAGCATTTGAGTGCAATGAAAATGCCAAAGAAATAAGAATTAGCATAACAGTTCTGAAGCACATACCTGTCCTACTCTAAATCTAGTCCCTTAACTAAAAATAAAATAAAAAGAAATCCGGAAATGCTACCTCTCATCCTCCCTCTTGCAGCAGGAAGTTTCCTTTGAACAGAATTTCAAACCATCAACCACGTCACTGATTTTTCTAAAAAGAGTTTTAACAAGAATCATGCTAAGGAAAACCACCTAGTCCATCTCATTTGTAGCTTTATACAAAAGCCTGTCAGTTCAGAGCAGGTTGGGTCCCATCTGTCTGTGCTGGGAGAACAATAAGCAACTGAACCCTTGAAAATAAGGTGGTACTAAAATGTTCACAGAACATTTGACCTAGGACTCCTAATAAATACCAAGTGAGCAAGTGCAGTCAGCTCCAAGTTTTCAAGTGCTTTGAGAAAGCCAAGTTAGCCATGGTCATAAATGACTGAGTTTTTTCAGAGAACAGAGATAAACATAAAGATTGCTTCAGTGTAAGACCTTTTTCCTCCCAGCTGCCCACAAGAAATCATGAACATAACAGTGGGCAGCTCCAGTTAAGCATTCCTGCAATGGTTCAAGTGATTTTTTTTTTCACCTCCCCATCTTTCTAGCCCCAGTCACTGCCTAGAAGACTTGTGAGCAATTAAAGAGTTCTTAAAGCTAGTGCTTTCTGTCACCTCCTTCCCATCACCTGATAGCTTCTCAGAAAGACTTCTGACCACTTGAGTTTTTTCAACTTGACAAGCTATTGTCAACCTTTGACAAGATACTGATGGTCATTAACTACTGGTCTATGCCAAGGTTAAACTGTGATTATAAACCTCAAAGTTATTCTTCCCCCCTAAGAACTTGCAAATCTGCAAAATATAGTAAGATTTTAAAATGCAGACTTTAGAAGTGAACCAATCTGAATTTCTCTTTTTGCCACTATTTTTCTAGTTTTTATTTCTCTTCATTCTATTCAGGAAGCCCAAAAGCTTTGAAATAAGATACTGAGAAAGGCTTTATTAATTAAAAATAAGGAGTACGTTCCAGGGTTTTTAGTAAGCAGTTTACTGATGCAGGTTGCAGGTATGTCCCATGCTGGGAACAGGACAAAGAAGGAGCTCACAGCCAAGTCACATTTTCCCAACCTCCTAGAACAGCATTTCTCAGAGTACGCAGATAGATACAGAGTGACATAACCAAACTGTGAGAAATAAATGCTTTACATTTTTCTGGGGTGGGAATGCCACTCTAGGAGTTTGGGAAATGCTGTCCTAGAATGTATTAATGCTGACATAACAGGGTAAAGCAGCCTAATCACATAAAGGCCTGTTCTATTGTAATCAGTGTGGATGCAGGGGCAGGCAGCAAATTAAGCTCCGAGGCTGTACTTCAATCCCTGAGAAGACGGGCGAACCAGCTTCTCAAACCATCCTTGGAACAGAAAGACAATACCAGTAGGGTAACACAGAAAGGGTGACGTGCTTTGGCACGACCACACCCTCTTGCAAGGCAATTATAGCCAGTGGTAGAGGGTTACATAGTACCTTTGCACATCTACACGTACTGAAAGGACAGGGCCGTTGCGTTATGTGGGTGATTTGACTGAAAGAACAACCCGAAATGGTCAGCGAGAGCCAGAGAGTTAAGAAGGCCCAGTGTTAGAAAAAAATGTTTCCTTAATACACATATCCTTAGTACACATATCCTGCTGCCAGGATCCCGGAGCTACTCGGCTGGACTATGACACCTTTATAGGTCTCGCCTCCTGGTGCCGCCTGGAGCAAAGGTGGCGGTGGGGAGAGCCAGGGCAGGGTGGCACTCACCTGGGTGCGGGCTCGATGAGGGTGGTGGTGTCCAGGTAGTGGATCTTGTAGAACTCCAGCAGGGCGGGCAGGTGCTCGAACTCCTGGTCGCCGATCTTAAAGCGGCGGTTGGGCAAGGAGTTGATGATGTAGTGGGAAACGCGGGAGTTCTCGGACACCGACAGGACATAATCGCCCGGGCAGGTGGACGAGTCCCGCACCAGGAACATGCCGTGCCGCTGCCCCTGCAGCCGCGTCTGCGCCTCCGCCCGGGACACCGGGCCCACGTACCAGCTGGAGCGGTCCGACGAATCGAAACGGGCGGCGGAGGACATGGCTCCGGCCGGGGAAGGGGAAGGGAGGGGAGGAAGGAAGGTGAGGAGCCCGAAGGCCCAGGCAGAGGAAGAGACCCGGAGAAGGGAAGGCCTGGGCAGAGAGGCCTGGGAGGCGGCGCGGGCTGGGGCGAGGGGGGAAAGCGGCTCGTGCTCAGCCCAGGAGAGAGGAAATTCGGGGAGAAGGGAGAAGGAAGCTCCGCGCCGCCGGAGGCGGAGGGCTGAGGAGCGGCTGGGGTGGGGCTGGCCAGACGCGGCGCTCAGGGCCCCCGCGTCTCCCTCAGCGGCGGGGTGTGCAGGGCATCCTTCCCGCCTCTCTCAGGCCTGCGGCGGGCCCGGCCAGGCGGGGTGGCGAAGACCAGCGGCGGGCGGCACGGGCGGGCGGCGAGCGGAGCCGGCGCGGGGCGGGACGGGACGGGACGGGGAGGCAGAAGCGCCGCGTCCGCCCGCGGGTTCCCTCCCCTCGCGAGCCGAGCACCAAAATGGCGGCGGCGCCGGGCGGCGGGAGCGCTCCCAGACACCGCCCCGCGCACGCGCCATGGCGGCGGCAGCGCCGGGGCCGCGCCCGCCCCGGGGGCCGGGCTGAGGGCGGCGGTGGCGGCGGGACGGGCGCTTGGTGTGCCGGTGGTCTGTCCTGGCGTTCAGGGCACAGGGAGAGCCCTCCTTCCGCAGTTCCCCGGGCAGGAGGCGCTGAGACCTTCCCGGCGCGCTCCTGGCCGGGGTGAGTGAACGTGCGCTGAGTGAGGCAGGGCTGGCCCCGCGCCCACCGCAGCCCCTCACAGGGCAGGGCTCCCTCGGTGCTGCAGAGGCACTTTGGCGCAGATCACCCACAAAAATTGGCACATCCTCCCTCCTCGGTGCCGCCCAGTCCCAGGCTTTCCCCTCTTCGCCGCGGTGCCCAGAGGCACCCTGCTGTTCCCTCCGGGGTCGCTCTTGCTTCCCTCCCCTCCGCATTCCCGGATCTGAGTGGTGCCAGCACCCTGGCCCCAGGCGGTTTGGAGACAGACATCGCCTCCCCTGAGGTTTTGGTTTTTTACTAGTTAATTTTATTCATTTTATTTTAATTTTTTTTAAGGAACAAAACGGACCGCCGTGATAATCATCTCTGATCTCGAGATAACTTCCTACGTGCTCTAAGAGGCCGTTTCCTGCCTCTTTTATAGCCTTGTTCCCAGATAACGGGGTCAAAGCCCTGTCTGGCTCGGGCGGGAGGGAAGATGGTGTCGCAGCCGCTGAGGAGGAAGGAAGTCCCGGAAAGGACTCGGCGGGGCTCGGGGGCAGCACTTGGCGCCTGGTGGGGATGAGCTGTTCGAATGTGAGGGGGAGGCTGGCGCGGTGACCCCACACAGGCACCGAGGGCCTCTGCGCCGCCTGAGTCACGGAGGGCCGGCAGTGCCAATGCCCGTGTGCAGCTGCACTGGGCAAGAGGCGCCACAAAACACTGCACTAATTCCCCGCTCGTGCTAGAAACCTTTGCAAGTAGTGTGATTTTTTTAGCTCAGACTTGTGACTTTGTGTAATTTTTGCTTTTGATTTTGGTTTTTTTTTCGGGGCTGGCAATGTGAAATGAAGCACCATGCGAAAGCAAAAAAAAAAAAAAAAAACCAGTTAAAATGGAGAAATAGACTTAAGATGTCTGTCTTGAAGTGCCTAACTGGACTGTTGTCCAGTCTTATTCCAGCTTTGCTGCCTTTCCTACATGCTCTGCCTTTTCCAAAAGCTCAGTCACAACATAGTCATATTTTTTTCTCTTTGTTCGTCTTCCCTCATTGGCAGCTAGTGCCAACTGAGGTGTCTGGATTGGAACGTATGGGCTGTGTCTCTGCAGACATTTGGCAGAGTTCACATCATCTAAAATGGAAGACTCCTCCAGTGTCATCCTTACGTTTTAGACAAAATCATCCAGGAAAGTCTCATAACATCAACTAACATAAAAGGATCTTAAATCAGCTCTTAAATATGTGTACAGGTATCATTTTACCAGCCTCTGAAATACAACCATCTCCTGGGTGGAAAACAACAGCTGTTAGTCATGTACAGCAACACTGGCAAAGCAGTGACCCAGAGATGAATAATTACATCTGAAAATCCACATCTATGCAAAAATATTTCATCCATTGCTAGGGAACCTTAGTAGCTATACCTTTGATCTTGTTTTAGGAAGAATGGATGAGTGTCTGGTACCACTTTACCTTTTTATTACATATAAATACATTTATGCTCTTTGACTTTACCTGTTGGCATTTTCCACCTTCAAAGCATGGCCAAATAGCTGGAGCACAGTGGAGGAGCTGGGGAGCTCTCAAAGGGCATCAGCTGCTGGTGAAATAAAACCTCAGTTGGCAGAATATTCCCTTGAGAAGGTCCTGTACCTCTTTCCCTGTGCCCAGCTGCTCCTTCTTCCTTTTACCAGAAGTTTTGCACCCCATCAGTTGGGCTGAATGCCAAATAAATTGTACATGTGGCTGATCTCTAAGAAAGGAGAAGTAAATTTCTGTCAAGGGTATAGAATGAGAATCCTTATTTTGTTTCAAATCAACGATTGGGTACACTTCCAATGCAAAATTAACAACCCCAATTTAAACTATGAGGAAATGGGAAAGAATAGGTTGGATTTGGAGGTAGACAGCTGGAGAAGAAATACAGTAGTGAAAGCAGTTATGAAACAAAAACTGAAGCAATCACAATCACTTCTGCAAATGGGGAAGCCTGAAATACTTCAGGATACAAGTCCGCTAATTACAAATCTGGCAAATATGTCTGTACAGCTTTACCTCTGTGCTAGCAGGAAATAGGAAAATAGATCATCAAGAAACCTAATTCTTCTTCTTCTGGACTTCCTAATGCATCAGCAGTTTAAGTGTTGGTATTTTGATCACTCACTTCTGGAAGAGCTGTTTGATTGTTCTCTTACAGACCAGAAATAACCTAAAGCTTTCTTAGTTCATTGTCCATCTGTCCACAGTGTCTTGTGTTATACTGTCTCAGAGGGCTTACTGTAAAAAAATTAATGCTTTTTACTGTCAGATACAAGATAGACATATTTAGGACATCAGAGAATTTATAACTAAAGAAAATATGGAATCAGCTGAAAATCCCTAGGAGTACACGTTTTTCTTGAGGTAACAGAAAGCTCAAGTGGGCTCTTGAAGGCTCAGTTCCTGAAAATCACTCTTGATAGGAAAACTGATCAATAATACTTACAGCTCTGTATATCAATCTGTAATCTCTCCTGCAATTTGTTTATGTAGGTAATTGTAGTAAACAAGGAATGCTTTATGTCTGCCGAGTTAGAGAAAATTGCCAATTTTAAAGCAAAGCAATTTTATTATTGTTTAGCCTATGTGTGAAAAGGTACATGCTAGACTAAAATGAGCTACTGCTAAATGATCAGGATCAAGTGGGCTAAGCTAAACTCTGTGTTTTTATACCTAAATGAAGCACATGCAAATAAGATAGTGCATACTGTAACTTTCATCAGTCCCATTATGCTCAGGTATAAAGAAATTTTTGGGGTGAAAGCAACAGAAGTTTTGTTTTTATCAAATAATACCTGCCTTAGGTTTAGTTCATGTAGCTTAGGGATATTATACCAGTAAGTAAAAAAAAATAATAATAATGCAGCACTTGTAACTGCATTCTAAGCCTTACATTGATTTGCTTTGCACAGCACCCAACTGCAACATTAATGAATAATGCAATCACAAAATTGCATACAAAATTGCATTGCATGGAATAACAGATGAGCTGACTATCTAAAAATCGGTATTCAAACACAGAAGGAGTGACAGGGTAGAAGCTGGAAACTCCCCCCCCCCGTGAGTTTTCTCAAGATGTTTCTTTGGCTTACTAATTACTCATGAACATCTTATATTCTATGTAATCTAAGAATTAGCCTCTCAGCGTGGTTATTTGTAACAGTAAGTTATACCCTCTAGTGGTACACGTAGGAAAAGGAGCCAGACAAAGAGTGATTATTTCTTTTTTCATTGTGGAAGAGGCCAAATAACGTTTAATATACCCAACATAAATAACCCTATGACTTTGTATAACATAGGGTATCACTGTCTGTCAAGAAGTGCTAGTTAAAATGGAAAATGCACTGCATTGAGTTAGCTGTCTGGGCTTAGATATGTCCTTACGTCTGAGAGCTACATTTAATTCCTACACATTAAAAGTAACTCCTCAGGCAAAACAGAAATACTCATCAGTCTCTAATACTGCAGTGTAATAAAGTCTGTATTTCCAGACTCTGTGTGCAGTCCAGAGTTCATTATCAAAAAAAGATTTTTCTGAAAAAGCTCATAAACAGGGTTTCCTGCGGTTACCAGGTCTTTTGTTTTATTTGCCAATTGGCAAAGGTTCAGAAACTGGGGTGAAAATTGACTGTGCTGGAGAATAAAATCCAACAAAAGCCCTTCTTACCAAGAAAAAACCCTGTTGAACTTATTTTAAAAAGTGTGCAAATACTCTTTAATCTTTTCCCAGAAGCCCAGTCTACTAATGCAGTCATGTAGGTGCCTTTTGAAAACATCTTTGTTTCCATAACAGAATATCCCCAAGTAACGGGGTATCCAGGAGCTCACTCCACATCTCTGAAGTAGCACTGAAGTGCAGTATTTGTTGTGATGTGATGATGTGACAATCATTCTGATTGTCACTTTGGTTTTGCCCTTCTGCAAGCCTGTTATTGCTAAAAGATTTAAAAGCTTTTGGTAGTTTGTCAAAATTTTCTGGTGGCACTGATTACTCCCCACCCCTCCAAGAGGAAGGATCTCACACTATTCAGATATCACATTAGTTCAGACTTTAAATCAGCTTCTAAACTAAAGTAAAACAAGATGGTAGTCAGGAACCAATTATTTTAAGGGCTGGTGAAGGAAGGATTTACTTTGCCTTATCTTTCTCAGCTGTAGCTCCTGGCATTAGTTCAGCTACTGCAGGGTCTTGGACCAATGTCATCTTCGATACCTCTTGTTATCTCATTATTACTTTTTTCTTTGGCTGTGGCAAACCAATCTCTGTTCTCTTTATCCTCTTCTAAAGCGTATAATAAAAGGAAGAAAAAATTACCCATCTCCCAGGCTGGTGTAACTTCACTGATACTGCAGTAGTACTATAGGATCTAATTAAGCTCACTAGCTTTCAGTCTCCACATCACTGTTAATAAAACTGAGACAGCAGTTAAAAAACTTCTGACAAGGATTTATTAATTTATGGTTGAGAACAAATGTGTCTGACAGTGGAACGATGAGATTGCCACACTCTGTGCAGAGTTTTTTTCTAGAGATCTTCTTTCCACTGCGTTGACAGAACTTGCAGTATAGAAGTTCAGGAGTGGGTGTCGGTTCTTAGACTCTCTCCCAGTTACAAGGATGGCTGCATGCCCAGATGAGATGAAGGTTCAGACTTTCTTGCTACTGCTCCTGTTCGTGTATGTTCAGTCTTGCTAAAAACCAATCAAGCTGTCTGACACCTGGCACAGGACGGGGACACCAGGTGTCACCTTCCTGTGCTAAGCTGGCTGGGAAGTTTTATTACCAAAAAGAAAAAGGAAAAAAAAAATCTCAAAAGGTATTTCAAGCTAAAAGCTGGAAGGAAAGAAGCTAGTCAAGCTGAGCCTTCTGTGCCTTTTTTTTCTGTCCATGCTGAAGGTTGAGAAAAGCCTCCTTCAAAGGCAAAAAAACCTCTATACAACTGGGGGGGAAATGGCAGTTCTGTGGTTACTTTAAAAATGCTGCTTTCTGGCAGGTGGGCAGGTACTGCCTGTAAGTGCATTTTTGTGCAGAACACTTGCAGATGGGTAGATATTGATTGTGAATGGCATTTTGTGCGCAACACTTACATTTAAAACCTTTAAATACTGAGTTATGTATATAAGAAAGTCATATAAAATCTCTTAAGTATTTTCTCCAACCCTTAAATTCCTCATCCACTGGCAAAAAAATAAATATTAGAGTTTTCTAATCTTCACTGGAATTGTCAAATTCCTCCCAGTCTGATACGCTCATAACTTCTGATGGAAAGTCAAGGTGATGCTTCATTCGGTCTGCGTGCCATTCCGAGAGCCATTTCTCTGTCTCCATTAAAATAGCCCTGGGCAAAGTGAGGACACAGGCAGCCATCCCAGAAATATCATCCTCCAGCTGGGGTCCTTCCTCCCAACAGTCTCTCTCTGCATCGTAGATGTGGACATAGTCCATGCGGATTCCTCTGTTGTGGGATCGGCCTCCCAAGACATAAATCCTGTTGTCCAGGACCGCAATGCCTGGCTCTCCATGTCCTGCAGGAAGTGGACACACGTTTGTCCACTGATCAGTGCTTGGCTTATAGCAGGCAACCTGTGAAAAAAAAAGGAAAGAGATTAGCCAAAATTGAACTTGTATCCTAGTGACAGAGCCTGGCCATATGGCAAACTGTTTAGGAAGAATATCATCCATCTTTTGACAGTGTGTTGAGTGTGGAGAGAGCATATCACTGTGTAGCAGAAGTACAGTACTCAGCAGAAGACTGTGCATAGTTGCCACGTAGCTTTGAATCACAAGTTCTGACCCTGCTGCTGGAGTAACAGCTGTATGTCATTCCAAAAATGCACACAAAAGTGAAAGAGCTGGAGACGTGTTAATATAAGGCCAGACATAATGCACCTGCTTGCATAAGAAAAAAAGATGCTGGAACATACAAATATGACAAACCTGCTAAGCTGTCTCTGCACCATACGTTGGAGAGTTTTAGATTTCATTGGGTACCTACTTGGATAAGTGCTTTCACTTGTAAGCACCTTTTTATCATTCAGACACACTCTTCAGCTAGATTTAATTCTGCCATCTCCACTGGCTGTGTAAGAGCAGTTACTTTTTGTTTCTTCTTTTCAAGTCTCTAGCAGTTCTAGAAGCTGTAATAAGATTCAAGGGAATCTCTCCAGACATCACTTATCCTCAGGTACTGTACATTCAAATGCATTATACAGTGGCCACCCAACATATCCTTAACAGCTCTGTCCTGCAATTACACATTGGTGGTTCAAAAGTCCTCAACTTAGAAAAAAAAGCACGTGAGAAGACAACACAAAGTCCATTTAGCTGGTGTGCTGCTTACTGGGTATGTGCATGCCAGTGAATGTTTTCCATCAAAGACATTTTAAAACTGAAAAGAATTCCAAGTGCTAGAGCTTTAATGCTTTGTGGGTGAGACAATGTGTTCAAGGCAAACAGTAAACTGCAAGTTGTGCAGTTGAGTGGGGGAGAGCTGGTGCAGCAGCCGTTGCTGGGCAGACAGTTTTATTTGCACACTTAGCAGGAGAGAGGCATTGCACCAGAGTGCCGGCATCCAGAAGAGAGGCTCCAGCAGGGCAGACACAGGTATGACATGCTCTCACCTGGTGAACATCCCGTCTGTAGCCGGAATCATTGTTGCTCCCTCCGATCACGTAGAGCTTTCCCAGCAGTGCAGCCATCCCGTGCCAAGCTCGTCTCACTGGGCCATCTGCTAAAACCTCCCAGCGGTCAGTCCTCGGGTCGTAGCACTGCAGCTCCTTCAAATAGTCCTCTCCTCTCCTCCCACAGGTGATGTACATCTTCCCATCCAGCGCCGCTCCCGCATGCGCGTACACCTGGATCGCCACGTGGGAAAGCAAGAGGTGGAGGTCTGGATTGAGGTATTTCTCCCAGTTTCAAGGTATGGAATAGACATTAAGGGAGTGACATTATTCATGAGTTATTCAGAGATCAAAATCTGAAAGGATTTTCTTATATACAGTTCTTTCTAAGTGATTATAAGTTTCTATAAGGTTATAAGAATTTCTGAATGAAATACACTGGAATTTCTAAAATTTCCAGAACTGCAGTGGTCTCCTTCTTTGGTGTTCCTTGATTAGAAGATCATTCATACTATAAATTTTCTGCCTAGTGTACCTGGATGCCTTTCTGTTGGTGATTTTTCTTATTCAAGCAGTGTTATCAGGAATGCAAGTTATTCTACTTATTAGTACTCAGCTGAATCTTCAGGCTTTTTATATTTTCAGCACTGATACACATTTATTATTATCATGCAAGCTGTTTATCCTCTTCTACCTCTGCATCCCTTTTGTAAAATACAGTAATATTTGTATTTTTATGGTGTCCTGAGATTCTCAGTTCAGAGGCATTATTTGTGCTGGTCACTTGGCCCAAGAATTTTAAAAGGTGTAGTAGAAATCAGCATAGTTTCTTGAAAGATTACTCAGGATTTTAGTTTTCATCCCTAACCAAGATTCATCAAGCAGTTGTCTCTATCTTGCTTCTTTGCAGCACTTTTAACCTGAAAATGGAAATTCTTGTGGGTTTTAGCAGCATTAGAATTTAGAACTCATTTCGCTCATAATCCCAATTCCAGAACTTGTTACCCAGTCTCACTTCTGTGCCCAGGAACTAGGAAGTCTGTAAGTTCCTTCTTACTGGGGCATTATCTCTTCTGATCAGGAGTAAATCATGTTGTCAGGACTGTGAGAAGCTTGCACTACTGTGGCTCATAGTTTACCTGCCCAGGAGAAATGGGAATCTCCTTCATGTTATGTGTTCAATTTTAAATACTTTTAAGGATTAACACAATAAAGGTACAGGCAAAACTAACAAGAAAACACAAAAAATAAGCATTTAACCTGAAAATGTAATTTACATATATGGTTATTTTCTTGTAATTCATTTATCCGATATACAGAGGCTACTGTTTTCCACATGAATATCAGCAAATTTAAAGTTACACGTGAGAAAAACATTTAAAAAGATTAAATCAGGAATTGGGGAACTGTAGTAGCGTGTGTGTGGCCAATGCACTCCTTACCTCCTTCTTCAGAGGTGTCACATATTCCCAAGTGTTGCTTTTAGGGTCATACCTCTCCACTTCCCTCAGGTCTTCATGGTAATCTCGGCCTGCGACAGCATATATATAGTTGTCCACAACACAAACACTGAGGTCAGCGTGCTCTTGCTGCAGGGACTGGATCTGGAACCATCTGTTGTGCCGTGGGTCGTACCTTGTAAAAGAATGGGATCAAAGGAAGTTACCCAAACAGCCACAGAACCATTGCTGGAATACCAGACAGCACCACAGATGTGGGTTACTGCACTGTCTTCGGCTGAAATTGAGCTCAGCTGTAAGCCCACTGAAATTTGGCATTGTCAACATTTTATTATTAGCAATGTTGTTTTATTCTATTTTTAGAAGATGTATTTCAGCTGACATAATCATGCTATAAAAGCCTATGTTTTCCATTATCTTATACACTGCTGTCAGGTTACATATCAAAGTCTCTGTTTGCACAAAGCCATTCTACAAGGTAAAATGGTCTAAAAATAGCACAAAGACTAAATCTGGATCCTCAAGAGTACAGGAAGGGCATAAATATGTAGTGGGTTCTTTGATTCTTTTCCCCAAATATCTGCTGCTCAAAGTGAGCCTCATGATTCACTTTCAGATCAAACTGTCTCATCTGGTAATTTTAGTTACAAAAAAACCTGTTTGTGAAATGGAACTATGCATGCCATAAAATAAGAGCAACTCAGCTAAAACTAGTAAAAATGACCACAATATAAAGACAACAGAGTTTATATCTGTTTTTGCAATATAATAGGCATGAAGGTCTAAATCTGATCCTTCCTCCTGCTCTTTTCCCTGTCACAGAATAATTACTGTAAAAGGACCCTGGAATGCTGCTATAGTGCACACTGATTCTTGGTAATAGAATTTTTCTTAACCCCTCTGTTTTGTTGCTATATCCCTTTGCACTGGGACAAAAACTACACATAGAGGACTTCCAGAAAATCCTAGTTCAAGAGCATCTAGACAACCCAGAGTTCTAGGTTCATAACTGGTTCCCACAAGCTTTAATACTCCCCCTCTCCAAAAGGCAGAAAGTAGCACATGTAATTCTCTTGAATGAGTAGCTGTCTCTACCCTGCCAGGCTTGGCTTTGTCTCTTAAGCACTGCTGGAAGCTTTCTGTTACTACGAGGCTCATTTCTTGTGTTTTCTTTCAGTGAGGCTCCTGCTCAGTTCCTAATCTTTTGGCCAGCAAGGGTACTGACTGTGCTATTGGCTTATTGACTTAGAAACAGGCAATAGGGTGGCAATAAAAATAATAGCAGGATTATCCTTATCTTACCTCCAACACCTTGACTCTGCTCGAAAACCACTTACATTGTTGTCTCCACCAATTAAATATACAAAATTATTGAGAACAGCAATCCCTTGATTGGACATTCTGGGGGCTAGTGCAGCTGTAAAGTGCCTCCACTCTCCCAACAAGGGGTTCAGATACTTGGCTTGATCACTGAGGACAATGGATGGAGTAGAATGCATCCCTCCAAATCCCACTACACACTGGAACTCTGATCTCAGCTGTGTCTGGGAGCTCTGAAGCATTGGCTGAAGACATTCATTCTTGTGGTACATTAATGCATCTGCAACTGTATCTTTTAAAGGACATGGACTTAATTTGTCATGAAGCCTTTGCAGGATCTGGGGTTCCATCAGAGGAAAACGAACTGTCTCAAGAAGCTTAAGGGGCTCCATCAGGGAGACCTGATCTGCCTCCAGTTGTTCTGGAGAATAATGATAAAAAAGTGCTCCATCATAAACTTCAAACTCATAGTTAACCTCCAAACGGTTGCTGCTGAGAAGGGAGTAGACCTTCTGCAAGGGTAGCTGTCGGTACACTTGTGTCCTTGAGAAAGCTGTGAAGTTCTTCAAAATGTAGGAGTCCAGCTGATCACTCAAATGCCTCAAGTCATAGTGGTCAGCAAGTTTGTACACATCAAGGATGTTCTCTTCGTCTACCCAGGACATGAGGAAATCACAACAGAACTTAATGACTTCTGGAATCTGCAAGAGAGAGATTTTTCATTTCAGACACCACCTGCCTCACGCTTGGAAGACACGGGACAGAAGCCTGGGATGACTGTAAGAAAACTGTCCTCAGGGTGACTGCTCTCCTCACAGTCTGATCACCGTGTTCACTGGTACCCTGTTCACCTTTGTGCAGAGAAAAAGAACTCAATTTGGGTACACAGAAGATCATAACACAGAACTTCTTGCCACACTGTACTGCAAGCCTATGAGTTTGGCTTCAGGTGCAGCAGCAATGTGTCTTCCAAGATCCATGGGACACTGGACAGCCAGGCTGCCTGCTTTGTTAGGCTGCCTGGGAGCAGCCAGGAACATGGAAGGACATGGTGATTACAGTCACTCCGTATTTGTTCTTTCAGAGCACTATGGCATACTATATAACAGACTGTATCTGTAACAAATATATCACTCAAGAGCACAGGAAGCCATTGGAAAGGAAAATGAATATCTAGTATTGTCTTCTGAATACAATCTGAAGTTGTATCTGGCAGGAGGAATTACTGGCAAGCAAATAACTGCTGTCCAGGAGCCCCTCTGCTAACAAAGTGCTGCCAAGTGTGTAAAAACCAACCAAAGCAAGCACTCACAAAGTTTAGGATTTAGTACCAAAGCCTTGTGCAGCAGTTAGCTGCAGGGGAAATTAGAGAAAAATACTTATCTTAGAGGCAGGTGAACCCTGCACTTAGTTAAAAACCATAGTGGTAGGATTGCCCGTAGCAAGGGGTCAGGACAGGTTATGTGCCTGTGGACTCAACTGGGGACGACCCTGAGCAGTGCAATAATTTCTGTCCTTTACCATAGGTCAGAGATAATTCTGTGCCAGGGAAGCTTTCATAAGCTTCAGTGAGAGCAGTGGAAGGGAATGCTATATAAAATAGTCCTCTAGATGAAATAGCAGATGTTTGTAAGTAATGAAATCATTGGCACAAATGAGATGTGCAATACTCATTCATTGTTCCTACCCTTCCACGGTTAGTTCCAATGGCTACAGCATCCCAGAAATCCTTATCCAGACCCATGCTCTTATTCACCCCCTAACTAGATGTAACCAGATATCCAAATTTTCTGTTTCTTTCATTGTTGCTTTTGTTTCTTGCCTTTTTTTTGGTCACATCTCCCAGTACCTCACCTGAAGCTGACAGGCTGCAGCTAAGGTTTCCTGTACACTGTTCACACTGAGTTCCAGCTCAGAAGTGTAAATGAAGTTCAAGATTTTACACATTGCATTGTAGGAGATGCCATGAATATGAACTTCTTCTTGTTCCATCTCTCTCAGTCCTCCTGCAAACATTCCTCTGCAAAACAGACAATGGCACATGCTATGGCAGATTTACATGGAGGCTATTTTCAGTTTGCTTATCGTATGTTGTCCTGGGAACATAAAAAATATTCTGTAAGATAAAAACCTAGCTAGGTACTTCTGTGGGATTACCTCTTCTCTAAGCTAATGATACAAAGAGTAAAGGCCTTCAGGACCTACCAAAGTAACTCTTCATTCTGCAGGAAAACAGTAGGAGCCACCTAAAAGTTACAGTTCAGACGTGAAGGACTTAAATACAGACCCAGTAAATACGGATAGTCAATGATCAAAGGCAGATACTCTGGGTGTGGAGGAAGAGTTAAAACAGAGGAACTTGGGACTGCAGGAATTTTTTCTAAGCTAGAGCAGTTCTTCTTCCAGTTGGAACTTGTCTGGATTGCCTTCGATTTGTTTCTCTGCTCTATGGAGATAAAGTCAGTTCAAGAAACTGCTCACCAAATTGACTGGGGAATGCCTGGTTTAATGCACAGGGAGTCACACTTTGGGCACATAACAGAGTGACCCACTACCAGTGACTTTTTGTGTATTATGAAATGATCACCACAGTGGGCAAAGTCTTACAATGCTAAGGATATGTTAAAAGCCACTTAGAGTGCATTTATGCAGAAGGCATCTGTTCAGATAGTCTCTCCTCTTTATAAACCTCCAAGTACTACAGGCAGTGAATTTAGTGGAGATAAGCTCAGTGTGTAGGAACAAGAGCTTTACTTCTGTAGAGAAATAACAGAGAGATGAATAAGCCATAGTTAGTATATTGAAACGCTTTCAGCTCCATCTTATGGGTCTGATTTTAGATCCAGAAGCAGATTTGGGTGCCGCAGGTTTGTGTAACATTGACACGTTTTGTTACTGCTGGACCGAGAGGTACCTGAAATAGTCGCAGGATGCAGCAAGGAGGATGCGATGAGCCTCAATGGGTTTCTCCTCCACTACCAGGACGACATCGAAGAGGATGCTGCTGTCCCGGAGAGACACCAGGCCACTGAGCAGGGCCTGGGAGTGCTCGGCACTGCGGTACGTGTTGCTGGTGCGCTGCTGGAGGGAGGGCTCGAGCTGAGCTTTGTGTGGCTGAGTCAGCTCCTGGTCCTCCGCCATCCCAGGCAGAAATGCTCAGCCACCAGCTGCAGCAGAATGAAATCTGTGAGACAACAGAATCAGCAAAGGTTTGTGCCTTTTGCTTTACAAATGGTCTCCTGACCCTTGCCTGTCACAGAAAATAAATCAAAGCCACTCTTCAGTCAGTGGAGACACAGTTCTACCCTGAAGAAATTATTCTGTAATATGATACTGGAAGTAGGCAGATGGACATCAGCACACCAAAGTGGCAGAACGTGATTTTTCAAACAACTATTCTGGCTCTTGGGTTTTCAGTCCAAGAGTCAGGGTAGGTATCACATGGGGATAATTTTTTTTCCTAGCAAGAGTTTCACTTCCCAACTCACTACCAAAGCCTGTTGTTTCTTTTGCATTTTTGCATCATTTATAATTAAAAAAAAGACTGAATTTTTGACAAATTTCAAATTATATCCTCAGATAACTTTGCTGCAATATAAACTGCACCTTACATCTTTCTCTTGATATCTTACCACAGAATCAGAGCTCTCCTCTCTCCCTGTCTTTGCTTTTTCCATTTTCTGTAGCTGAGCACATTTCTAACTGTAATTCTGTAGAATACTGTATGAAATACAGTATACTGTGAGTTTCTCTATTGTGACAACTCCATGCTATCGTGCACAACTGCTCTCCACTTCCCTGTGCTGCCCTGCAGAGAAGGTATTTCCTCCAGCCCAGGCACTGTGGAGGGCTATCCTGTACCTTTCTCTAGGGCTGCCACTGACACAGTGGGAAGGTCCCCTACAGCCCATGGGGAAACACCTGTAAATAGCTGGCTGGAAGTGATTGTGTTTCGTGTCTATGGTTAAGCACTCAGAATCTCATGAGTCCTCTTCTACCATCCTGTAATTTACCCTTTCCATTGTCTTTGAGGAATGTCAGAACTTGTAGCAGTTAGAGGTTATAGACTCTATCCAGTTGTCAGAGCACATTAAAAAACACCCCAAATTAGCAAAAGGAAGTAACTGAGCTGATATGGCTGCTTAACACATTTCTAAGATCCTCTCCTCCAGCGGCCTGGGAAATAGCTTAGTGGCACAAGGGACAGTCACAAGGGATTATCAGCAGTCAGGGAAGCAAAAGCAAAACAAACCCAGCAAATCCAAACAAACACTGAAGAAATGGAACCATTGTTTAATTGTGCCAGCCCCAGACAGCGAGTGCAGCATAGGAAATCTCTCAAAGTGAAGCAGGTATTCGGTGTATGGGCAGTGAGGAAGGAGCTACCTGGATGACAAGAAATATGAAAATGTTTATTGTGCTGCCTGAGGGAAGTTAGCCTACACTGTCCAAAAGAAAAGGTTAGCTATCTAGGTGTTATTGCCTGGTGAATGGGATGGAAAAATCCCTTAAAAAGTGTGTTAATGCCTGTCTGCTCTTTGTCAGCAAAACCAATACAGCAGCTCAGAATAGGAGCTCTGGTGAGACATCCTTCTGGGGAGCACTCAGGTCAATTATACAGGGGAAACTATCCATCATCAGCTGAAGAGATGAGTAATGGATTGTTTTTCATGACAGGCTGATGCTTTTCCTAGAAATAAAATGAAAGCAGACAAAACATTACTGTATCATTTGATTTGCTCACAGGGAATACTAAGAGTGATGGATTGAAGCAAGGGAGATAATGTAGTAAGAAAGGCAACTGAAACAGTGAGTGTTATAAGATGTTAATCAGTAATTTCCCATTTCACCAGAAGGAAATAAATGCAGCAAAACCAAAGTAAGGTGAGATATGGTCCAAATGAGGAACTGATTCAGATTAAGTCTGTTAGTGAGGTTTAATGTGGGTAATGCTCCAAAACAGGTTACATCTTTCCCTCTTCTTAGAGAGCTGTATCAGAAGAAGTCTCTATGAGAGTAAAATCATCGTATCAAAAAGCAGAAGTGAAAGTAACAAATGAACTGATTTCTGAATTCAAAGCCTTTTCATGAGTAGGGGAAAGGACAGGACCTTTGATACAGTCTTACAGTGTGTCATACAGTGTGTCATACATTGGTGGAAGAGAGGCTGGGGAGAGATAAATGAGAATAAAACTACACGGGCCACTGAACCCCCATAGCACATGTTAGCAAAGAAGTGTGTTGTAGGGGAAGCACTTTCCAGAGAGAGAGAGATACACGCAGGGGAGGGTGAGAAACCTGTATAATCATTAATTCATTTATCTACTTTTAATGAATGACTGTAGACAATTACTATTCAGAATATATTCTGTATCTAAATAATCTTAAAGAGTAACAGAAAGGGGATGAAGCTGTCAGCAAGTAAAGCCCCAGAAGGGACCCTATCTTAAAAATATGGGAACTGGAACCAAGAAGATCAAATGGTATTATGAAAGAGAGCAAATAAAATAAATAAATACAAAAAAGATAAGAAGATAAATAATTCAGGGATTCTGTAGCCTGTAGGAGCATTAATATCTGCACTGCATTTCAGTGACAAGGGAGGCTGTCTTGGTGATCTGCAGGGAGTTTCTCACTACTAGTTCTAGTAGATACGAACTCGAATTATACCATGTGTCATCAGTAGCTGAACAAACCAGCCCTTCCCCTTCCAGCACAGTTGTGGTGAGCCCAGAGTGTTCAAACACAGAGGCTGAGAGTACAGCTGAACCATCCTCCACAGCTGATTTTTGGCCAGTCAACAGCTGAGCCTACGGATATTTTGCTACACTCTACTTGCTGAATTTGTCAGTCCCTACTTCCTGTTCTCGAGTTCTGCCCCTGGGTTGTACCTGGGCTGTCCCTGGTGAGCTGGATGTCCCTCAGGGTGGTCACTCATGCGTGTGCATCAACTCAAGAGCTGTCTTGTGTGTCTGGAGCACAGAAACACATCAATATGGAAACCCACCACTCTCTACAGCTACCTGTAAGTATTTTGTCATCCACAGTTATTTGCCACTAACCAGTTTTGGATGTGTGGGTCAAATGTCAATGATGCTGGATGTGGAAAAAGTGTTACATACTACTGAGTGGGTACAGTATCTGTGGTCTAAAAGTTGCCAGCGCTCATAAGCTCTTATTGTACGTGGATATGTGAAGCTTTTAATCACACTGGGGCTATTCAGTGAACTTCTGTGCTGTTTTATGTACTCCTCTACTGTCCTAAGCTGGGCTCCAAGGCTCATAAATAAGTACACATGAATTGTCATAGTTTTAACCAGTGATAACAGACTGCTCTAGAAAAATGTTCACTCCAGTCATTCTAATGAACTGTTCACAATCCATCAAATTAAAGGTGAGCATTTGTGGTATTAGTCTATGGTGTCTGACTGACATAGGTGGTTAAGTCCTCTTTGAGCCAGAAGCCAAGAAAAGCCTCTTAACTCCAGCCTGGGTAGTTTTAGGAGCTGGTAGAAAAGAGCTGTAAGACAAAGAAGGGTAGAGGACCATCAAGTGGCTGTGGGGGATGACCAGCAAGAGTCACTCAGCTGAGTGTGCTCAGCTCTGTAAATGCTGCACAAGGAGTGGCTGGGGTTGGGTGGGTAGGAAGTTATAAAGAGTGGCTGCTGAAGCAGGGTTAGGGGGTTGTGCTGTGGGCTTCTCTGAAAGAAAGGGGGCTGGTTTTGGTGTTTGAGTTTTCTGGATTAAATGCAGTGTGCGTGGTGAGCTGATAGTTTTGTGTATTTCTCTCAGTATAGATCTAAGTGCTGACTACAAATTTTCTGGGGAGGGATACTGCTGTTAGCACAGCACCTTGCTTCTCAAGCTGTGGTCTAACACATGACCCATGTGCTTTGTGCCTTTGTTACTGTCTAAAAATCTAGTAGTACAAAAAGTGGAAATGTACTGCTTCATGTGTGATGTACCAGCTGGGTGGGGGGAATGACTGTAAAGGTATCTAGGAACTCTTATGAATTGTCAGTGCCCACCAGTGTTAAAAATTACAAGGAAATGTATTGAATACGCCATATATTTTGAGCCCAAAATAACTTAACCCTATCGCCTCAAATTTGTTTTTTGCTTAATCTTTATTAAAACAAACAAACATGCAAAATACCTAAACGTAATGCAAGAAAGGCAGTTCAGAATGCAGAGAGAACAGGTTTGTTCCCTCTATCCTGAGCCTCTCTACTGTCAGTTTCTTGCTTGTAAGGATGTTCTTGAGGCCTCTCTGCTTTCTTACTTCTCTTATTAAGAAAGTACAGCTCTTTGACTTAGCCAAGTTCCTAGAAATCTGAGTAATATGTTTTCTTTCCCCTCTCCTCTTGTGCAAGTTTCTTAGTACTGGTCAGCTGTTAAATGTGGGATTCAGTGGCAAGACTGCAGGACTAACCCAGAATGGAAAAGATGAGGAATTCCTTGGATTCACTGGGCTTCTTCAACAGTAGCAAAGAACAAGTGTTGTCTCGTGTGCTGTGGGCTGCTGTCTCCAGAAACAGGGGAAGGCAAGTCCTTGTTCCAACCATTTTGAAACTGCAGAGAAAATCAGACTAGACATCTTCTTTGTTGACTGCACAAGGTATTTGAGCCTGCAGTTATGTTGGTCTGCATTTGTCTGTTGGAGCACGTGGGTTAATGCAGGGATTAACTTTAAGGTATTACAATTGAGTGCTCAGTATATAAAGAGGAAGGAGGCAAATGAGGTCAGTGATTGTATGTGTACTTCTATAGACAAGTGTAGGAAGACTTTCACTGTTTGGTCACTTTGAATCAAGGAGTTAAAAACTAAAAGAGACACAAAAATCCCCCATAAATAGCAAAACCCTCAGGGGTACCTAGAAAAACAAAACTGCTCTTTTTCACTAGACTGAAGTTTTCTATATTCTGTGTCTGTATTCCATTTAGGAATGAAGAGAAGGCAGCCATGCCTTGCAGTGTAGGGACCATGAAGGAAATCTGGTACTTCCTTCTATTTCCTGTATTATATACAAAGTTCACTGTCTCACTAGTGGTCTCTGGTAATAAGCTGTGGACACAGTGGAAGCTACAGTATCTCAGTGACTTGTTGGTAGCTCTGTGGGATTGTCTTGTATTCAAACTCCATTTCTACAACATGCTTCTGCAGACTACTGGCATGAAAAAAAGTTAAAGGCTTCTGAGTATTCAGTTGAAATAACTCCCTAACTGCCTATTAAAAGAGTTGTGGTTAATTTTTTTAAAAACAAAATCCCCTCTCCAATTAACAACAGAATACTGGCTTTCACAGCAACGGTATATGGCTTGTGACTGAGGAATTTGGCATTGGGCAGGAGGAATTTAGGGAATTGATTGTAGCTTGATCATTCAAATGGCAAAACGGTGAGAAACTGCTATGCTGGCCTGCTCTTGTGCTCACTGAAAATCCTCCTTCTTTTAAGAACAAAAGGTACAGGAATGGAGTAGCTCAGCTAGAAGTGTGGAAGGGAAAAGTTGATGGCATGGCAAAAGAGATGTGGTAGAGGTGTCTGCCCTACCTGAATGTTTTAAGTGCAGAGCAGTTGTTACACCACAGAGTTTCTGTGCTGCTATTGTAGCTAACACAGTTCTTATTTTCTGGTGAGCCCCAGTCTGTGCACTGATCCTGTGCTTTAAACTCAGTGTAGATGATTGAGAGTGCTGAAGTCTGTTATGGGTGTTACATGGTATGATACACACCCAGCCAAGTATTCAACCCTTCTATGACCAGCACCCAGTCACAGAGTGATGCTCCTATTGTGTGGTGCATGTGTGGGTTCGGGGGTGCTTTTCTGGTAAAGTTGTGCTGACAGCCTTGACTCTCTACTGTAGAGAAATGGCTGGATGCAGGAAGGATTATCCAAGTTAGTTTCTATGGAAACTCAAGACATTTTTGTGTTCAAGAGCTCGTGGCTGTCAGTTACATCCCTACAAAGAGGTGGTTTACGCAGATAGTGATATTTTCTTGTGCTTCAGCTGTGCCCAAAATAAACCAGAGCTTGCTGGTGTCGGATATCCAAATCTGTTTAGCTTACTGCCATACAGACAGGTGGCTCAAGCTTGGTGGGGGTCCCATGCTTTCTTAAAATCGTGGAATAATTTAGACTGGAAAGAAGCTTGGGAGGTCTCTACTCCAATCTGTGCTCAAAGCAGGGACACCTTCAAAATCAGGTCAGGATGCTGAGAGCCTTGTCCAGTCAAGTGCAAACTCTCCATCCCTGCCAATGATCAGAAAACTGATTGTTTAACCACAAGATTTGTTTTCTTCTTTACCCATCTGATTTTTTTCCTGCTATTTGTGACACTCACCTCTCACCCTTGGCACTGTGCACCACAAAGGAGAGTTTGGCTCTGTTTTCCTGTACCCATTAGCTTAAAAAATGGCAACTGGCTCTGCCCTTATCCTTTTCTTCCCTGTACTGAACAAAGCCAGTGTTCTTGCCTTGCATGTACTTGTATCTTCTTGTCTGTGCTCCTGCCCCCTGTGGTTCCTCCACTGAACTCTCAGGTTTTTCTTTCAGTACAGAGCTCAAAGCTGGGCATGGTGTATTCAAATTTTCTGGGCTTACAAGTGCTGAATAGAGTGGGAAATAATAATTTCACATGACCTACTGGCTGCACTCTTGCTAACATAGCCCAGTGTGAAGCTGGGCCCTGCTGGAGGAGTCATATTCAACTTGCTGCTCTTCAGGATCCCCAGGCTCTCTTCTTTCAAAGCTGACTTCTAGCCAGGCTTGTCTCCAGTATATGGAGTTACTCTGATGCAGGTGCATGACTTTGCTTTTAATATTGAAATTTATGTAGCTCCTCTTGGTCCACTCTCAAAGTTTGCTGATGCCCCTCAGTTGCAGCTCTGTCCTCTTTCTTGCAGGCCACATTCATCGTAGCTTTTTCCTAACACAGAACAACCAGCATGTTGTGCTGGTTGTGATCCAAATACATTAGGCCCTTAAAGGTCTTAGTGCACTGGAAGAAATTTAATACCTGTGCCCCAAGGCTTCCCACATCTTCATTTCTCCCTAGGGAGTAACAAGGGTTAGGATCTAAACCAGGCTTCAGCTGAAAGCCTGACAAGATAATATGCAAGATTAGAGCAAAATGCTGGTTATGCTGAGTCTGAGGGGCTGCAGATGCAAAGAGGCAGAATCTGGCTGTGTACCACATTTTAACAGGGCAGGGGTCACACAAACAAACAGATCAGCTAGGCAGGGAGTGTGCAGAAAGGGGAGGCAGCTGGGTGCCTGCCAGAACAGCTCAGAAAACAAATGTGATGCCACAAACAGTGTAAGATGAAGAGCAAAACTATTGTTTGTTCTAACTGGAGTGCAAATACTGGAATAATTCACCAACTACGTGATAATTTGTAATGGGCACTTGTGAGATTGTTTGGTACATAGAAGACAATTGAGTTCACAATTATGTGCAGACAAGACTTAAGCCAGTTTCATGCTTTTTGAAGAAAAAGGGAAGAGAAGGGGGGTGAAGGAAAGGCAGAAGCTTTGCTCAGCACTGCTTCTTTCAGAATTGTCCCTCTCTATGCACTCACAACGCTGCAAAAATAGATATTCTTTCTGAAATATTTCACTCTAGGAACCTTCTACAAATACAAGAAACAACCCAAACAACTCCTTTTGACCAAGATCCCCTGAAAAGGAAAGAAATGACGATATCTGGTAGTACATCATATCTCAGCATTGCGTTTGAACGCTCCAATGATGACACACTTCCTCTGCTCTGTGCCCACCATCTTCCTTTCCATCACTAATGGAGATATGCAATCACACCCTCTGGGCTGGGTTTCTGAGCCATTTTCAGTTTCCAGCATTAGTAGTACAGTTGGGGTGTGGGAGGAACCCAAAAGGCGTGGCTTAGCAAACAGCTTTTGCGAACTGCACTCACAACTTTTGGCATTCTCTCCTTTCAGAAAACACCTGGGGTTTTTTTGGTTTTGTTTTGTTTTCTTTTTTTTACCCCCAAGCCTATTACAAGTTATTTCTAAGACATATCAGGAATGAAACATCTCATATTTAATATGTATATGGCAAAACAACCATGAAACAAATCTATATTTAAATACATGGATATTTAAAATTATTTTCCCCTAGCATAACCTGAAGAGTGTGAGCTTTCTAAGCTGAATGTTTTGCCTTATCCATAACAAGTCTGCAACTTACCCAAATTCATAGAGTTGTAATGTTTTCTGTTGTGCATTTTGGGAGGTGGCCTTTGGCCTAAGTGCTATCAAGGATTGCCATAAGGAAAACAAAAATAAAATACAGTGCTGAAATGCTTTCTTTTATGGCTTCAGCATCATTTGAAGAGTTTGTCTTTTACTACTTTTTTTTCTTGTTTTTCTCGTTCCTGATCTTGAAACAAGATTTATTTTGTCATTCAAATCCTTCAATAGTCATGTTCTGTTTCGGATGGAGCAGCTGTTTGTCTTTGAAGGAAGGATTTTTAACCAACAATATTTAGACAAGGTGTACCTATTTTCATTCTTTTTTCCAGAGTCAGGAGATAGTGTTTAGTCCTATGTCCAGATAGACCAGGGAAATCTCAGGAATATGTTCTTCTGACAGAATTGTTTTAATTATCCCAAGAATTCTTAGAAAGCCCCTCAGAAATCCTGAAGTCTTTTCCATAATAAGAACAACACTTTTTTTTAAAATGAGGCTTATATAGCATTAAACTCTTTAAGTAACAGCTACGTCTAAACTGACAGTTTATAAGTTAGTCAGTGCTATATGTTCAGTGAATGCTGAGAGACTCAGCTAGCTGGCAAGGTTTGAACCTTGTTTGTCTGCTTAAATCAATCATGACTCTTTAGTATGCTAAAACACAAGGAGGAAAAAAAGAAAGTAGTTACAAGTACATCAATTAAGTGACCTGGAAGAGAGCAAAGGCCTCCCCAGCATGTTCCAGCTCTGATTTCTCTATCAAACATGAATTCGTTCACGTTCTTCACCACATTAATGCTGGCATCTGTGGGGTTCTGCCCCGTAACTTTGACATTTCCCCATCGGGGACAGCTGGGGTTGCACATCACTGGAAGGGGCAGCCTGGCTCTACACCGACCCTGTGACGAGGGGGTGAAAGCCCGCTGGAACACAGTTACGCTCTTACATTCTATTCCCGGGTTGCAAACGCCTGTGCGGGTCCCGAGCCCTGCTGCGGCCGCACCTGCTCACCGCCCGCAGGTGAGGCAGCCCGGGGTAAGCCCCGCACAGGAACGCGGGGCCCGGCCTCACCTGCCGGCTCCTCGGGGCTCGGTGCGGGCGGCAGGACCACGGCCAGGGGTGCCGCGCCCGGCGGGACGGGGGTGCTCGCCCGGCCCCGCCGCCCCGGCCGTTGTCCCCGCAGCCCTCCCGTTACCCCCCGGGCACCCCCGCGGCGAGCGGGGCCGGGACAGCCTCCGGGGGGCTCGCTCGGCCCCCCTCAGGGGAACGCCCAGGGGAGCCCTGCCCGGGGCCCCGCTCGCCCCGCAGCACCTACCGAGAGCGGCGGCGGCGCCTCCGCCGTCATGGGCCACCCGGAACCCGCCGGCCGAGGGAGGGGCGGCGGCGGCCGGAACCGGGGCGGGCGGCGGGGGCGGCCCCCGGCGGCACCCGCGGTGTGCTGCGGGGCGGGGCGGTGCCGCGGCCGTGCCCGGGGGGTGCCGGGCCGGTGTCCCGCGTGCCGCGGCGGGACCGGGCACTGCGGCGGCCGCGACCCCCGGGGCCGGGCTCGGCCGTGCCCGCGGGCCGGACTACACTTCCCAGCGAGCCCCGCGCCGGCTCTCGCGAGAGGCGGCCGGGCTCGCGCCGGGACTTCGTTTCCCTGGGGCCGGCGGCGCGCCGGAAGTGCCCGCGCGGCGCTTCCGCGGCGGCCGGAGCGGAGCGGGCCGGGGGGCAGCGCTCGGGGCCCGCTCGGTGCCGGCCCTCGGGGCCCGCCGCAGCGATGGACGTGACCGGGCCCGAGACCGACTGGCGCAGCACCAACTTCCGGCAGAAGCTCGTCAGCCAGATGTGAGTGCACCCACGCGCGGGCCTCGGCCCCGGCCCGAGGGGCTCCCGCCCCCCCCGGGGCCGTGTCCCGCCTGTCTGCGCTGCTCTGCCGGGCCTCTCCGGCCTTCCCCGGGCTGCCTGCGCTCGTACCCGCTCCCCGGTGTTTCCCCCGGGCCGGTACCAGCATTTGCTCAGACTGTTTTTTTACCTGATTTCTCCCATCCTCCTTCCGTTGCACTTCGCTCTTCCCCAGAAGCACCGGTTCCCGGTTCTGCTTGACAGCATCTGCTTTAGGGCCTCGGTTTTGGCGGTGTCCGTGGTGGTGCGAAATTTGACATATTCAGTCCTATAAAAACGTCTGTTATGAGCTTACTTCTGACTTTTTAGGGCAAATGCGAGATAAAAATGCTGGTGATTTAATGTAAAGTTCAACTTGTTGCCCATTCAGTTGTGAAACAGTTGCTTTACCTGAATTACTTTACTGCTCTGCAGGCTTTCCTTATTTTATGGAAGGCTCTTCTGCCCTGTGCAAGGTGGTTGTTACAGAAGGGAAAGCACTGTTCATGGCTCCTAAAGTAATGCTGAAGTCCGAATTTATGTAGGTTCGAAAAACTTGACCTTAATTTGTTGATTATAAGGATTAATATCTTAAAATGGACAGTCTTTTTTCTAAGATATATAAGCAGTTTGCCCTTTGACTGCCTTTGGTTTTACTTCACTGAAGGTGCTGTTCCAGAATTAAACTGTTACAGTATTCATTAAAGAAGTAACAATGATGTGCATCTGTCAAAGCCATGCAAACTCTCTTGGTGCTCAGAACTGATGTTTCACTTTCCAAACTTTCTGTAAAGTCATTAATCTTAGGTTGATCCCTTGCTGCTTCTCCTCCTCCTGCTGCTTCATCAAAACAAGCAAAAATGTGCCCTTGAATGCTCTGTAGCTTTGAGGAAATAAAGACAATAACTTAAATGTGTTACTGTTCACATAACTCCTTTTGAGTGCCTTGTCCTAGCTACTGGGTACAGAACTCTTAATCTGTTGCAGTTTCACACTTGGCTTTGCTTTACAACAGTAGATTTAAGTCTTTTGGGGTTTTGGTTTGTTGTTCTCTTAAAGAGTGACGTGTGAGTGAACATTTCAGTGGTGCTGTGGGGAATAAGTGTCCTGTGTCAGTGGTCAGTGTGTACGATTGGGTTATATATATATAATAAATAATATATATATTATTTATATGTATTAATTGATGACCTAAGAACCTTCTCAGTGCTGGGTTCTGTGTGGCTGCAGGCTCAAGCAGGACTTCTGAGATCAAGGAAAACCTGAGCCCAGGTGACTGGGGCTGAGGAGCAGCTTTGGCTTCTCCCAGGATGTTCCAGGAAACAGCAGTGATCTGGTCTGGGTTGTGCTGTGGTACACCCAGTTCATGGTTGGGTGCAGTTCCTGCCCCAAGCTGCTTCCAGGCTGTGTTAGGAGGGGATTGTGTTGAGAGTAGAAAAGGGATGTAACTCAGGCTGTGGGATGTTCCATTAATTTCGTGTTTGGTTTTTTGCTTGAAGTTTTCATAGGTATCTTCTCACTTTACTTAATAGCTCAGCTGGGTGAAAAGAAAGAATGTGTGGGCAGAAAAAGAGATGAGAATGTGGAGAGCACGTGAAAGGAGGAGAGTGAGGAACAAGCAGGCAGGAAAAGAGTGGAACAGCTGAAGTTTCTTGAGTGATGAAGGGAAAAATAAGGAAATGAAGATCACCTGCATTTGCTTCTCTTCATGAAACACTTCACAAAATCAGTTCATAAAGCAGCCTAAATTTTGTATTCCAGCCTAGGTTGTCTGATGAGAATTTGGGCAAAAATGTCCAAGAGGGCAGATGTTTTTCCCTTCCTGGAAGTGTAGAGGAAGTGAGGGATTAGTTATTTATAAGTGCTTATTTTGACACAACTGTGAACTGAAGAAGCTACTGCAATACATCTTCATTTCAAGTGTTTGCCATGCAGTGAACCTGATAGTGAAATTTCTCAAAAATAACTAAGGAAAAGTGGTTATTTTTAACCTTGCTTGTTCTTCAGTACTGCTGATGGCAAAGCCACGTAGACAGTTGTACCAGCATGACTTGGCAGGGGAGGCTTCTTACCTTGTCACCTCTGCCAGAGGGAATCCCTCCTCTTGGAGGATATGCTTGTGAAGCTGTGAAGGGAGGATTCTGTGTGTAGTGGGAAGGGTTTTTTCATCTCTGCAGAACTGGAAGGAAGGTAATGCTACAACAAGGCCTTAGGGAGGCTGGATGGTCCTTTGCATTCCTCGTGCAGCTGAAGGAGTTGTGCTGGGGACCTGGGACCTTCAGGCCTCTGCATGTTCTGTCAAGCAGCTGTGAATAAAGTAGTGTGAGTGATTCCTTTGGGCCTGCTGCTGGGGTGTGTTACAGGGGTATTCCCCCAGCGAGGGCTGCTGGTGATGAAATTTGTTATGCCCGATCCGTAACAAACAGAAATGTTGTGTGGGACAGTTATCTGCACAAGAGCAAGTGAATAAAGTTTAATATAGTTGGTGGTGTTTACTCTGAGATTTTTAAACCTTGTAATGTGGATACATGAGGCTGACAGCTTACCAGCACACTCCCCCCTGCCCACCCATTGCTGTTTTAAGCAAGAAAGGTTTGTTAACTGAGTGTCATAGTGATGAAATATTCTATTTGACAAGGCAGCATGTGGTGATTTTTACATGTCTTAATGTGGTGTTGGCCCTGGAACTCATTGCCCTCGTGCTTTGTTGAAACAACTGATTCATGCAGTCGTGGTGTGAGCTGGGGAGGGAGCTGGTGTAGGTTTGAAAGAGAACGTGTTTTGCAAGATGTTTCGGCTAGACCAGTTGGCCTTAGTGAGAGGTTGCACATATTTGGGCTGGAAACAAGTTCTTGGAATGGAGGGGGAATTCCTGAAGCTGGTGTTGGTGTTGAATGCTTCATCTTTTAAACCACAACTTTTGAGTTTTGTGCATGAAATCAGAAAGGCAGACTTTTTGTGCACATATTATCACGCATTTGCTAAGTGCTCATGACACAGATGAAGGTTGGATTGTCTGGTACCATCTAGTTTTCAGAGGTTTGTTGAGTTCAGTGTTCTGCCAGGATACCATATGTTATTTGGTATCCTTAACTCTGGGCTAAAGCTATGACTTTTAAAGTGACTTTCCTAGTCTTTTAATGTAAATATTTTTATGTTGATTGCAGTTGAATGTGTAAACAGGGAAGGCCTTGTGTGGTTTTTTTCTTCCTCCCAGTCTAAACCTTTTTTGGAATGCTAACAGATAGAACATGGAGAGCTCAGAGTGGCATTTTTGGTAATGCAGATGTAGTTGTAATAACATGTCTTTCGTGTTCCATAACTTCAAAAGGAGAAGGTAGATACATGTAAGAGTAGATGATTTCTCCCCCTCCCCCAGGTTCCTGGTACCAAGTTCCACATTGATCACTGTCTGTAGCCCAGCCACTAAGTACCTACGTTGCTTTCTTTACTTGCCTCTGCATAATCTTTGTCTTCTCTTTTTGCCAGTTCAGTTTTCAGTGTTCTCAGCATGAAAGGCATTGCCATTTTACTGGGACTGGGGAGTTAAGGAGGAGTTAACTCTTCAGAGAGTAGTATGGATTTAGAGACAGCCTTTCCAAAAGGGAAAGCATTAAAAAAGGGGTTGTCAATAAAGAATTGGCTGTAGCCTCTTCCTCCACAGCAGAGCTCCTTCATGAGCAGTTCACTTTAAGGCTTGTTTGCCCATGGAGGAATGGTTATTCTGCATTATGTTCAGATTCAGCTTCAGTTTAAGTAACTTCATATGTAAGCAGCATTTTTTAGTATCTGCCAGACCACACCAATAGGTTACCTACATCAGGTATGATGTTCCACTGTGTTCTACCTTGCAGGCTGCAGCAGGTCAGCTGTCTGCTGCTGGTTTGTGAGGAAAGGGAATGAGTTGTGGCAGCCTGAGCTCCTGCATTTTAAGGCTGTAGCATCTGCTCTTCACTTCTGTGGCTGTTACTCAGTTAATTCAGGAAGCTGACCCAGCTTACTGCTTGTGCAAGCAACGTTCCTGCTGCACGGGAACTGGTAGAAATTCAGGGGAAATTGTTCCCCAAAAATGGAATACATTAATCTTATCATTCACCTTTCCTCAAATGAACAAGTTGTGGTATTTTGTCAAGGTGGTAAAATAATGACTTGCCTTGCAGTTGTTCTTGAATTTCTGCAAAGAATATTTATGTTGGCTTTGTTCTC